TTCGAGTAAGTTTTCATGACTAACAATTTTCGATTTCGCTTCAAGCGTTTCATCAGGGCTTGCTTGCATTCGGCAGAGATCTTCATTTCAATTTGTTTTCCTATACTTCTGGAAGCGTGGAAGGCAAGTTTAATCGAATATAGTACTTTTGTAAACTATTTATTGCAATGCAATAGTCTCTGAGGTTTTTTGATGTCTCGGCAAAATCTTCGTTTGCCTCCGCTTGCAGTTCGACGAGGCAGTACTATATTTTACTATTCCCGTATATATAGAAGCAAAATAGAATTATCGAATGCAATAGTGACTGTCTCCAGACTCTGGGTGGAAGGCAAGTCTTGGTGAGCTAGAATTTAATCTTATACATTTGCAATTGTTTTGTTTACTATTTATTGCAATGCAATAGTCTCTGAGGTTTTTTGATATCTCGGCAAAATCTTCGTTTGCCTCCGCTTGCAGTTCGACGAGGCAGTTCTATATTTTACTATTCCCCTATATATAGAAGCAAAATAGAATTATCAAATGCAATAGTGACTGTCTCCAGACTCTGGGTGGAAGGCAAGTCTTGGTGGGCTAGAATTGAATCTTATACATTTGGATGTATGTATGTATATGTATATATATGTATGCATATGTATATAGTCTCTGAGGTTTTTTGCTGTCTCGGCAAAATCTTCGATTGCCTCCGCTTGCAGTTCGACGAGGCAGTACTATATTACCGAATGCAATAGTGGTTTGGTGTTTCGTATTTCAAAATTGAAGCAGTGGAAGGCGAACATTTTCAGCGTTTGCCCGGCGACAAAATTTTGGTTTTGGTTGCGGGGCCAACCGATTGCTCGATTGAGTTGCTGTGTGTTCACCGATGGAATAGGTGGTTGAAAGAAGTTCTGCTTCTTTGTTGCCCGAGCACATCCAACCAAAATCCTTGGTTGAAAGCAGCGTTTCAATTCAGCGAATGTTCCACTCGGTATCAGGCGAACAGCGTTCGCAGCACATGATTACAACATTTTGACTCAAAAGTTGAGAGCGTGATTGGCTGAGAAGGCGATTGGTGTGCCACTGTGTGGGTGAGAGCGGGGGGAATCATCGAATCCGAAGCGAGCGTAGAAACAATGTTGCAGCCGAGTTGGGGCGAATGTGTCCCATAGACAAGGTACAGTTGTGTGTTTGTGGCCGGCGGCTGAATGTGGTGTCTGGTTTATGGTGTATGGTGTGTGATGCGAGTGTGGCTTGTGGCTCTGGTGGTTGGGTGGGTCGCTGCGGCGGCTGTGGTCGTGTGGGGCTTCTTCTTGCTCTTTAAGAAACAACAAACATTTTTACTAGGCCTCCATGAGATTTAGCAGCATGCCAGCGACAGAGCGAGCGATTAGATTTTCAATGAAAACTCAATAGAAATGTTGTTAGAAGCGTCAGCAACAGGTGCGAGCGAGATGAATATACACAGATGGGGATGGTCTAGACGTGTGTCATGCGTGTGTTTGTGTGTGTGCACGGGATTAGAGAGATATAGAGATGGCTGTCTTTCAATTGATTTAAATTCGAGTGCGAGAGAGTGCGCCCTTTTCCCCACTCTTCGGATAATCCAATTTGTTCACTGAACACTGTCGAGCAGCAGAAGGGGAGTTTGCATTCGTATGTTTGCACCATTTTCTGTGTCGTTTTCGACATTCCTCTTATTGTGTGCGGAGCAGAGCGACTTGTTGCATGTAATAATAATAATAACGAACGAAACGGTATCTCGTAGCTGTTTAGTGGATGATTAAACTGAATTTAATCGTTTGCGAACAGGCGCACAGCGCCGGCCAGTTCCGCACTCGGCCATTATTGCTGCATTGCGTTTTTCGAAATGAAATCCATACGATTTTAAATTGCCTACAGAATGGGCGTAAAGCAGTATACAGTTGTCCCACTCACACACTCGTTTGCGAGGTGACGTCACGTCGGCTCGTGCGGATTCCATGTGGCGAATTTGCTATGCAGTCTAGAATTGTTCTGATAAGAGAGACAGATAATAACAGAGGATATATAATAGTTATGGTGTCTTTCGAATTAATACTTCCTTACCAAGATCTGGTCTCTAGAAGTGTTTCTGTTATATAAAACCTTAGTTGGTCTATATTACACATCTAAAGTAACCAACAGTTAATGTGCAGCTTATTCCCAGCTTATCCGCCAATTGGCAACCGGGCTGAAAAAACTAATAAATAGTATTGCCATCTCACTTGCTCGCACAGAAACTGGCGACTGAGAACCAAAGTGCCTCGCTCAGCATTAATCGTCTTGCTATGATTTTAGCAATCCTAATAATGCCGTTTCATGGGTGGGTGCCTGTTAACTAGCAGCAGGCATTCAGCATTAACATGTCGCAAAATCGATAACAGATGACGAAAACAAAACACTGCGGCGCCAAAAAAACACCCACCATGCCACACAGCCTACTTCTTCTGTGACTCTGTTACCATTTGAACGTTAAAAATTCGATTTTATAGAATTCCAGCAACGCCCACAAAACCAACGACAAGACCAGCTGCGGACCACCTGTGGAAGAGGCGTGTTGTTTTCTGCTAATTATACAAATACAAACACCGGAGTTGGTTCGGTTGCGTTCAACTTGGCTTCAGTGGTAACAGTGTGTGGGTCGAGCGCTAACAGTACAGCAGCTACGCATTCTGCGCGCCTCTTAGTTATTATGTCAGATCTGCAATGTGCGACTATAAAATACGTATGCGGCCGGCGAGAATTTATTGACTCGTCGCCCCCGGCTGTGGGTGTGAGTTATAAAATTGATGGCATAAACTGTCTCTCTTGAATTTATAAACATGGGGCTCTCCATCTCTATCTCTATCGCCTGGATGCATTTGCATTTCCTGTTCGCCTATTCCGGTTTTTCGAGTGTATGGTAACATTTTGTAGTAATTTTCATGCGCGTTTGCGCTGCTGCCGCACTGCCATCACACTGCGACCAGACCAGGGTCCGTGGACGGATGCGGGCTGCCCAGGGCAAAGGAATGGTGAGTTTTACACTCAGCCGCTCTCTCCCACGTTCACTATTTGCATTTGCTGATCGCCTGGTGGGAATTTTCGGTTGTATGTTGGTAACATTTTGTGGTCCTCAAGAGTGTTTGCTCTGGCAACGCTCCTCGTGCCATCTCCCTCGCTCCCGCTGGCATGACGCGAATGTTAAGCGGCTGAATGTAAAAAAACCTCACACCACACCATTCCATTCCGCACGCCACACACGGACACACCGCATTCTTTTTGAAATATTTGGAATGACAGCATTCTTGCATGTGTGTGTGTGGGAGGAGCGTGGGGTGGGGGCACTAGGCAAACAGGGTTGTCAGACCACCTGTTGTAATCGTCGGGCGTCCGGTGGCCGCCACCAAAACCGCACTCTGACAACCCTGGAGCAGTGCGCTCGACACTCGGCGGAGCAACTGACAAGCATTCCAAGCATAACAATGCCGTCTGCTTTTTACGCTGCTTGCCTGTTCGGGCAACTAAGTGAAATTTCATGCAATACAATTCTCGGAAATTTCGAATTCCCCACATATTTTCATGTCGTGTCTGGCATTTTTGTTATTCGTTCACCGCGCATCGTGATCATGATGTTAGCGTCACTGGGGGGGTTGACTCTTGATGATTGTATGACTGCCGGGCTGGAACAGTTGGGTTGGTTGGAATGTTTGGTCATATTATCAGCTGTAATGAAAAGCTTGAAAGTTGGGGAAGGTCAGAGTGTGGGCATTTCAAATGGGGAGAGGAATTCATAGTTAGAACAAAGTTTAAACAGCAAAGCGAAAGGAAATTGCAAAGCAACCTCTTGATATTTCTTTTCTGGAACTGAGAGGATGGTATCAACTCCAATTCGGGTTTGATTAATATTTGAGAGGGAATATCAGAATTTCTAAACGAAATGGGGACATGAAACAGAGGAATAAGAAAATGCATTACAATTCGATTTATACTTGTACGTGTAGGGGATAAGATTTAGTTGAGCAGTTCAAAAGGAAAAACCATTGACAGAAAATTCAAACAAATATTTAATGAATTTAGTTTGATTTCCTTTATTTAAAGTTTCATTTACGCCTTCCTCCTCTGCTGACATTCTTTAATTTTCTGTGTAATTTCAACTTTTACATTTGTCGCAGGCATCATCGTCCGAGAACATACGACACCACAGTATCAACAGGTCCAACTAGTTTCACTCAGTGAAACGTAAGGGCTAGCGCTCCGCCTCCATCATACATACATCCACGCATTCAATACGCACTACAGCCACAATACGATATGAAGATGACGCGAAGTCAACGCGACTCCTTAAACTCAAGGTGAAACAGCCTAAGCATCGTATCGCGGATTCCAGTGCATTCTCATTGCTGGCGGAGTTGGAGCACACTCCAATCCCGAACTGGGTGAAAGTGGGGGCCTTTGGCTGGAGTTAGACGCACTATTGTCCTCTGTAAATCCTCATTGTAACAAGCGCCCAGAATCATTGTCTTACGCATACGTCGACGACCCGACTCCAGAAACTCGGAAAGTGCACCCGACAACAACAACAGAAACAACAACAAAACATTCCAATGCAAAAAAGTTTGCCATAAAAAGACGACAACATTCCCCCATCTCCACATCGTTGTCGGGGGCATCGCCCAAAAATAAATGCAACGCGTTCGAATGGACGATCTTCCATATAGTATACGTCCTCCACGCATACTACCAGATGGGTCTCTCTCCATCTCTCTCAGACACTCTCCTCTCTGTTCCCTATACAGCCTCAGAGATCTCGGATGCAACGTCCGCTGAGTGCTGCTGCTGCTGCTGCTCAGTTAGTTCATTGGCCCAATCCAAGGCAGTGGGCAAAGGGAAATCAAGAAATACAATAAAAAAGCCAAGGCAACAAAATCGAGCGAGCAAATCATTCTGATCGCGTCCCGTAAACTGGTTTGAGGGCAGCGCTCCCCTCCAGATCGAAAGTTTGCTGCTAAAAGGTACAAATTGTATCGAGTAGAATGTTCGTATATTTCTATATAAATATGTTTTACTTCTTTCCAGCTTAAATTAATACTTTTAAATACAAATTTAAAGTTTGAAAGTGTTTTTTGCACATTTTCAACACATTTAAGGGTATACCATCTGGAATGCTTACAGTTTATATTCGTGTAGTGTCATCATTTGGATAATTTGAAGTAATTTCATTGTTTTAGGGACAAAGACTCCACTGATGCCTGCCTTGAATTGTGCGAGAGCTTCTAAGCTATTAAATTCTTTCAGTTTACAGCAAATATCTCTAAAGACAGTCAGTGGAAATTAAAGTGTTTTTCGCATTAAAATAATATTTGGTGCCATTGAGTATGTAGAGATAGTAAACTATTATAATATTTAATGTCATAATATAGTACAGGCATTGCTAGCAGAGCAGGGCAATGTTTCCGCTCTCGTTGCCAGCGAGAAAGGTTCGATTCAGTGGCAGGACAGCCAGGGAGGTGAGAACGCCACGGAATGTCTCCGAACGCAGTTTTGTGATCGTATTGAAGGCATGCGAGTCGGCCACATCTGCATAGACTCCCACACGATTTCCAGTGGTGGCATAGACCAGGGCAGGACCCACACTCTGCAGAAAGTGCGCAGGTTCCGGTGGTGGTCTGTGGAAGAGTGTTCTCTAATTAATTACTAAATTCTCTATACAACCACTTATGAAACTCACTTGAGTTGATAGTGCATGATGCCATCTAGGGCGTGCCACACGGCCAGACTATGATCCAGCGCAGAGCTAACCAAAAACTGATCACTTGGTGCCGTCAACTGGAGCAGATCGCATTCCATGGGTCGCCAAGAGTTGAGAACCATGCCGGTCCGCGTGTCCAGCATCACAATGCCGCCAGAGGAGAGACCAGCGGCCAGCCAATTGCCAGATGGAGCAATGGCCAGGCAGCGAACGGTGGCATTGGGCAGGGCCGGATGACAGACGCGCCACTCGTTGACGTACTCCATGGATCTGGCATCGATCACCTTTACCGTAGACTCGGCTGTCCCGGCAATTACCAGAGGCGAGTGTGAGGGTAAAGACTTGACCACAGTCACGGCACTGTGTCGAGGAGCGTCCAATATTCCCAGAGGTCGGCCCATAAACGGATCCCACAGATGCACTCCCGAGTCGCAGGACACCACGTAGCGCAGCGACTCCAGGAAGCTCAGCGAGTGTATGGACTTCTTGTGGGCTGTATACGTAAACTGACAGGCGGTGGTCTTCCTGCCGTCGCCTTCGCTGCGCAGCGACCACAGCTTCACCGTCTTGTCCTTGGAAGCGGACACGAAACTATTCTCGTTGTCCAGCGCGTAGATGGCACGCACGGAGTTCGTGTGTCCAACGAACGATTGCAGGCGGATCTGCTTAAGATTGAGCGCCTGATTGTCCTTCTCGCTGCGTGTGGTCTCGTGGCGCCAGTAGGCCAGCCAGTTGCCCTTTAGGTGGCGGCTGCTGGGCAGCTGATCCAGCTTGTAGGCCACCATGTCGAGCAGTTCCATGCTGTTTCTGGCCACCTGCAGGCGATTTCCAACGATCTGGGTGCCAAAACTGTTGGCAGCCAGCTCGCAGGATGTGTCCACGGTGTCCTCGTCTTGTCCGGGTATCACACTGGCCGCAAGATTCGATTTGCTTTGACTGCCGCCACTCGGTTGCTCGTGTTCGTGGCACAGGGTCAGCACAAACTCCAGATTGGTGAGCGTCCGTTGCATGATGGCCTCGCCCAGGAAGCGCAGGAATGCCAGGTAGGCGGTGTGCGCCAGTTCCGGACCAAACACATCCCTCAGTTCCTCCAGGGCACGCTCCCGCTGCATGACACCACCCACCAGCGACAGATTGGCCAGGTCGCAGCCGAACTCGTTGGGCAGACCAAAGGCCTTGTTGAATATGAGAAAGAAGGGACAGAGCAGCGACTGGCAGAGATGTTCGCGCGTCATGTCCGATCCCAGGCGCACACTCAACGCATAGATGGCATCGAGGAACTTGCGCGCCAGCAGCGAACGGCCCAGATAGCCGCTGGGCATCAGCAGATTGGTGGAGCTAAGCAGGCGCAATATGGGCAGCAGGATGGCGTCCAGCAGGATGTGCTGCAGATGCTCCATTATGCTGGAATCCGTCAGACAGGGCACCATGTACTTGAGCAACTGCAGCGAACTAATGATGGCGCCCTCCAGGCTGCCAGTGATACGCTTCGAGCACAATCCAATCAGCTCACTGATGTGCGGGAAATACTGCAGCAGTAGAAAGTTCTCCCCATAGAGAGCTAAAAGGCAAGAGCGGATTAGGATGAAGATTACTCTACTTGGGCAGGGATTCTCCTCTCACCTGCTATGGACATCAGGCATTCGAGCACACGTGCCGCACTCCTATCGCCCACAACGCGTGCATTGGCAATGCTAAAAAAGTTTAGATTAGCCGCTTCGGGGGATGAGCTAAAGCCACCATCATCCATCTCTGGCAGGAGGTTCTCCTGCCCCACATAGCACAGGGAGAGCAGCTTCAAGAGATTTCTGGTTATGTGCCACGATGTGAGCACCGGTCCCAGTCGATGCGACAGCCACACCAGACTCTCGGCACTCATCTCGCTGATGCGATTATTCTGCAGCGCCTTGGCCTCCGACATTCTGGATATAACCGAAGCCTGTAGAGAGTCGGAACCCTCTGCGTCCCTTTCGCTTGCCGCTGCTGCTGGCTGTGCCGCCTCCTGCTGCACCGCCTGAGTGATCATCTCAAAGCTGTCCACGCTCTTCCGTGAGCCAATGTCACAGTCAATGGCGCTCAGCTGGAAGCTGCGTCGAATGCCGATCGTTGGATTGGGTATTTCAATGGTGGGAGAACGTGGTCCAAGGACGGGCGGGGGGGCCATAATTGGCGGTGTTTGACCCTCGCGAAGGGAGAGTTTGTCCGGCGAGAGTTTGGCACCGTAGATGAGTTCGTTGATGACCAGCTTGTCGGGTGATCCGCCATCCGACTCGCGTGCCTCCTCTGCGCTGGTGGCGGTGGCCGGGCGCATGTCAAAGGAGTCAATGGACTTGCTCTCCTGACTGGAAATTCTATCCTGATCCTCCTCGAACGTGAAGAGCTCTTCGATGTCCGGCTTGGTGGCTTCCACATACGCTGCTGGCGGTGGCTGGCGCTCCTCCTCATCGGCGGCAAAGTTGAGATTCTTGCTGGTCCGTCGACTGCCGCCGCTGTGGTAGTGATAGCCGTTGCCCTGCTCCGGTTCCTTGTATCCGCCCACAGCCTCAATGAGGGGAGCAATAAAGTGCTGCAGAAAGCAGCGTAAACCAAAGCGCACAATCAGGCGGAGCAGGAAGCTGTGGTGGTACAGCTTCACCGACTTGCGTGACTTGAACGAGCTGCTGGAGGAAAAGCGCAGGTGTCCGCCTGTGGCTGTCGCCCCAATGGAGCTGCCATCATCGCTGACACTCGTGCCCTCGACATCGTAGAGCTTGAGCAGCGGTTGCAGCAGATGCTGTTGGGTCTGTGACACACCCAGCGCCTGGGCAATCGAGTCAAAAAGATTCCAGGCGGTCAGTATCGAGGTGCGCTCGTCTCTCAGCAGATCAATAATGTGAGGCAGCAGCAGTTCCACGGGCGTAAACTGCTCGTAGGCAAAGGCCACCGGCTCGAGCAGCCTGCGGACATGGGCACAGCACGACATGACCTTGCATTCGGCAATCTTCCGGTCGAACAGCACTCGCTGGCGATCCATCTCCGTGTAGCGTGCGCACTCCCTGCCGCCCTGGCAACTGAAGTGTGTGTGCAGCTCCAGCAGAATGGCATTCAGCTCGAAGGCATGCAGAGATCTCACCAGCGCATAGACGGCAATGTAGTGGCTGGGGAAGGGCAGCAGCAGATTGGCGAACATCGGTTCCACCAACTGCGCCGGGCTGGGCGGCTGCGGCAGTCCTTGATCTGCCTCCTTTTCCAGCTGCAACAGCAGCCGCACCACATGGCGCACAGGTTTCGGCAGATCCTGTCGATGCAGCTGCGCCACAGTGCGGCAGGCAGCGAGTCGAGCCTCAAAGGCGGCCGTCAATCCGCTGCCCATGAGCAGCGGCCGCAGTCGCTGCATCGCAAACAGCTCCACAATGAGGCAGCCCAGCACCTGCAGCTCGCGTTCCCGCCTCACATTTAGCAGATGTTGCAGCGAGCTCCGCTTTTCCCTTAGGAGATTCTTTGATTTCGTGTGAATCTCGGCGCCGGCAAAGAGTTGATTGGTGAAGGAATGATCCGCCGAGTTCTGCTCGAACATGAGATCGCTGCTGATCATTTTCTCCTCGGGATTCGCCGACGCTCGCTGCTGTGGGAATGTTCGGGCATAGAAGGCCTCCAGCGTCTCCAGATTCTGCAGCAGCAGCGTGGGATTATAGTTGTCGGGCAGGTCTATAAAGTTGGTGATGGCATAAAAGTTGGAGGCGGATGCCGAAGCCGAACTGCTGTGGACGGACGCGCCGCTCGATATATCGTGGCTGGGGCGCAGTGAAGTGTTTGTGGAGGAACTGTTGTCCGCATTCAGGTTCTCGGTGCTCTTGGCCAGACGCTTGGACGGGCTGCCATAGAGTTGACTCATTCGCGGTGCGTTCTTGTTAAACCACGGCGTGGCATAGCGTCGCGGAGGATGCGCCTGCGTGAAGAGCTGCACAATGCCGCGCTGACTGAGATTCCGATGCTGATCCACCAGGGTGAGGCAGACATTCTTTGACTTGACGGCCGCCTTTCCGCTCAGCTTGTAGCTAAACGAACAGAGGGGAAAAAGTTACAGGAAATCTCTTCAAAAGGTGCACAAAACTCACCCAAAATTCAGGTCGATCCAGTGATGGAGTCGCTCGCTGACATACTGCGACTCCAGGGCCTCGCGATGCTTGCAAATAAAGTCCTCCGGGCAGGTGGCCCATGCAGGCAGCTCCAAGTCCGGCAGATCCTCGTGTATGCTCTTGAAGATCATCGGATCCGAGTAGAATTCTGGTATGCATTCGTCTGGGGTCCACTCCTGTAGACGCTGAATGGACACCGGATACTCGGCGGGCACCCAAATGGGTCGCACATGGGCGCAGAGTATGGACTGTGGCGTCCGCCTGGCCATGTACACAAAGTACGTGATCTCGGAGAGAAAATCCGAGACATGATGGGGCACTTGCTCCCCAGCCATGCCATCGACATGCTGGCTGGCATGGGCATACATGAGATCAAGGTGAACATCGCCCTTGTTCAGCCGATACTTGCTGCGGGACAAATCCCGCCAGTTGGCTCCATTGCGGCCGGCAAAGTCTGTCACCCAGGGCATTATGTGGTGATGGGCGGCATTCGTGAGGCTGCGCCCGCAGGCATTGTTCAGGATGGTGAGGTAGTCAAAGTTGGACAGCTGCCCGCTGCACCACATCTCTGCGTATTCCCGCAGATTGAAGTGCGCCGGATCGTAGGCCAGCTTCAGGTCGAACACGGTGCTGCTCGAGGGCAGCTGCAGGGGCGCATCGGCCAGATCGCCAAGCTCTGGCGAGGCCAGTGGCGTGAGCGGCGACATATCCATCGCAGGCACGACTGTGTCCTCCTCCAGGAGATTGCACTGAAGCCGTGGCAGAACCTGCAGCCAAAGATTCTCCCGCAGGACAATGTGCTGCAGTCGAAGGTCGCCGAGGAAGAAGCCCTGGCTTTGGAGCTGCTTGGACAGCTGGAAGATCTGGTAGATGATGAACAGCGTTTTGTTGTACCCCTTGCCCAGCAGCGCCGGGCTGTAGGTGATGCAATCGTAGAGGCTGCACTCCAGTGCCGGTGGGTAGAAGAATACACTGAAGTGCGTGGAGGACTCGATGGCCACCAGGGCGGGCAGAATGTTGGCGTGACAATTGCTGGCAATATCCGTTCCAGCGGCAGTTGGGGCGTCTGCCTCTCCACGATCCGCCTGACAGTGCAGCACGGGGCAGCGGTAGACACGTTGAATGAGCTCTTTGAGCACCATATCGTGCGGCTGCAGTTGTCCCTGGCCAGAGATGGGCTTGGATGATGACATGCTGGCTGCAGATCTGCACAGTTTGACATGGGCGCCATTGTACTTCTTGTAGGCATCCTCCCATAGCTGCTTAAAGTTGCTATTGGCCACAAATGCCACCGCCTGGGAATAGGACATCGGCAGCGCATCTGAAGCATGTCCTTCCCCGCCACCAGCGCCAGCACAGGCTCTTGGCAGGGGGTACACCCTGCGTTGGGGCTGCTTGCGGTATGTCTGCACCAGAATGCGGGTCCAGGGGTGCTCCAGCTGTCCCGCGGGATGCGCTCGTCTATCCAATCGCGGCCAGCTGGGGAAGTGCATCAGCCTTCGCTGCTTCTCCAGCGCTTGCAGCCACGACTTGTCGCATATGAGCTGATATCGTCCCTCGCCGCTGCCATCGCCTGACTCACATACATGCTGCGGATCAATGCCGATTTCTTGCCATATCTGCTCCTCGCTATCGCCCATCATATTTTGCATTGTATTTTGTTCCAAGCACTTTTATTACGCCACACTCAAAATGCGGTCTGCTGCTGCCTGCCAAAGCACTGAGTTCACATTTTGTGACTGTGCAGTCTTCTATTTGTGGGTGGCATGGCTATATAATCCAGCGATTTGTTTGGATTTTCTTATCTTTTTGTTTTTGTTTTTTTTTTTGTGGTATTTAATCGCTGCCGCGAAATTCGATGGTCGCACGACGATGAATCCGCATTGAAAAGGTATTGTGTGTTGCCAATTTAGCCATTTTCCAACTAGATCTAGCGTTTTGCGATTGCTGGATAAACTGTAAAATAGCGGGTGGCGGAAATTATATCTATTTTAATCTAATATATTTTTTTATTAAAAAATAAAAATGAACAGATATTGTAACTTTTCAGAAATTAGAATCACCCCAGGAACAAAATGATTCTAATTTGCGAGATTCTGCTGTTCAAAGCGTTTTTTTTGGCTTCCATCAAAACTGTCCGATTTTTTTCTAGCTGTTTTCAAAGCTAGTCTAGCTTTTTTATGACCCTGTCGATATTTTTATATTCGGTGTTTCTGTCGATGATTGCTGACGAGGGCGGGCAATGTTCTTATAATTTAAACAATATGATGCAACATGTTTAAAGTGTGTTCATGTGTAAGAGTTTAACAGAATATTTCGATTCACAACTCCAAATTAGCCTCATTTATAAATTTGGCCAATTCTCTAAAACGAATGAGGCTCCTTTGTGAGCAATAATTCCTAAAGATCTTAAAAGCGATGAAAACTTATATATTTTTTCCTGATAATAGCATGTTGTTGGCAGGAGAAGATTTATTGGACTTTAAACAGGTGCGAAAATATACACCATGAAACGAATCTGGTTTGGAGTGGTTAGAGTGGGTTCATGTCTCGGATATATGACAAAATCGTGTAGAATAGAGGGCGTAAGTGAGAAGGCCGATAATAATCGCCTTCGTTATCTGAATTCAAACTTCAGAATTTCTGGGTATAATGAACACAACAAAGATCATAATGATTACAAGTAATTTGAATTTGCTTTCAATTTGATGGATCGCATACAATAGCCACCGCGAATATCCTGACAACAAACTCACCCAAAACCAAAAATGACAAAATTTCCGAACGATTTCGAACGCAACAAATGAACTATAATTAATAAAGTTACGTCTGAATAGTAATTTAATATATTTAAATGTATTCTGACTATTACATGTGATAAGTTATGTTTTAGTGTAGTTCTTGGCTAATTGCGATTTACTTTTGTTGTTGTTTACTTCTCGTGCAGCAATTCCCACGCCCGAAATCTCTTTGGCTTCCTCCTAAATCTAATCTTATCAATACGCTATCCAGATCTATACTGTGCCGCCTTCGGGATTTCTCTCCACAACCTCTGTCTCCCTCTCTCTCTCTCTCTCTCTCTTTTCATTATTTTACTGTTTGTTGTCGGCATTTGAAAGAACTCCAAAGCAGCATCCACATAGCGACAGACACTTGCTGCTGCTGCTGCTGCTGCTGCTGCCTCGGTCGAAAGGTCAAGGTGGGCCATTGTTTAAGGTATTTTTCTCACATTTGTGAGTACCCATGTACATTTATATATAATCGTAATAGTTTTCGCTTTCTTGTACATATACTGCAGTACATACAGGAGCAACTGGTTTGGGGCAGGCGCGGCCAGGCCCTAAACAGATTTGGCGAGCATTTCGCAATTGAAAATCCCGAAATTCACTTCCGTTGTGCACAAATTAGCAGGTTAAATATTGTTTATAAATAACAGAATCACGTGTTAAAGGCTTGCCACCAGTTCGCCCCACCAGATCACTCGCAATCCGGCAGCTGGGACGTGTTTGCATGCTAAAAGTTCTTACAACTTTTCACACTTTGAATGACTTTTGACAACAATTAAAATACTTGCATTTCAATTACAATTATACATATTATATATGTATATGGGTATCGAATGCCAGGCCCCGGACCTAAGGGAATTATGAAACTTTTAAAAATACTCCTCGGCACTTTTGCCCACAATTAAAGTCCAATCATAAAGCGGCGCACACGACTGGTGGTGCGGTGGTGTTCATTGCAAGCCAATTTGCCAATTAAGTTATTAAAAACACCTTGTCGATGACACACACGATACGATCCACTCCGCTCTGGAGTGGGACGGGACTGACTCCCGCCCATAAATCCCGTCACTGGGACTTGACTTATTTTAAGTCGAAAGTCACATGCTGAGCTTTATGCCTCCGATTTGGCAGAACGGAATTGTTTGTACCCAGTTGGTGTGGAGCTTCCCCTGCTGGCCTCTTTGCCAATCTTATCTCAAGCCGAAGGCTCTGGTACAAAAGTCAGTGAATTTTCTGGCATTGTAAAGACTCTGACGGCTATAAAGATTAGAGCCGATATTATGGTTAGTACCATTGTAAAAGACATATTTTAGATAGCCAACTCTAGCTCGTTTCCTCGCCCAGTTTGTTTAGTTTTTTTGTTAGTTTATGGCGCACTCTGATATGGCAAAAAAACCCAGAACCAACGTAACCCCATGACCCATTGGCGGTGGCCGTGGTCAGCCTTCGTCTCAAGCGAGAACACTCAAACGCTCAAGAACCCCCCGTCCAGCTCCCACTTCACACCAAACCAAGCCAAGCCAATCCAAGCCACTCCACTCCACACTCCAATTTGTGGTCTCAGTTTTTGTATTCATTTGTTTTTTTTCTGCTCAACTTGTGGGTATATTGTATCTCTCGGCATCGATGACCCTCGAAATGTCAATTGGTGTGGCAATTTCCTTGCCTCCGCAATTCGTTTTCGTTTACGTTTTATTTGTGGCAACTATTTTAATTATTTAAGTATTTACTTACGTATTTTTTTTACTAAAATTGTTCTCGCCTTAACCGGCGAGATTGATTTATTGTCCAGAGCCGTTGAAACTTGTTAGCGACTGCCAAAACGTTTCGATCGTTTTTTTTTCAGCGGAAAATTGGGCACTAAAACCATGGAAGTTACGTGAAAGTTACCTTGAGAAAAGCAAGTTCATAGTATAGGTTGTGCCATGTACCATGGAGTGTATCCCAGTTAGGATCATGGGTCGGAGATATACCATATCTAATCTGGACACAATCGAGATATTTTTAGTTTACAACATCAAGATCCCCATGATAAAGATAAGTTTTGATAAAACTTCTGACTAAAGTCATGCCAAGTGTCAACACAAAAGATTTTAATTTGAAATGATGAATATTCATTTAGCACGCTAGATGATTGATACAAATATTCCCCTAGATTCTTTGTTCCTTAACTTGTGTCCTTCTATGGAATGACTTTTTATGCACGAGATGGAAATTGTCTTTTAATTTTTGGATTCTTTTTGATATGAGCTGCTCGCACATTGATTCAAAGGTCTTGGCTGTTTGGTTGACAAATTTCAGTCTGCATTCAACAGGTCGATGTTGTTAATACCCTTCCATATTTTGGGATGAATTTAAACATATTTAGTTTAATTTAAATCTGTTTTTGGAGCTATATGTAAACATGACCTCATGAAGTAATTTTATTCCTTCTACTTGTATTCCCATCCATTCCTCTCTTCTGTGCCTAAAACATACCCAAAGTGTTGTACCCCTTGCAAGGGAATTTCAGTATTATTATTTATATCGTTTTATTTTGGCGCCCCAACGCATCCCCCATTAATGGACATCAAATATAAAAGACTTTCTGGCCGCTTCAATTAATTTGCTGTACGAGTATATAACGCAAAATATTTTGTATGCGAGTTTAATATTGAGTGCTATGCTTCTGTCTGTCTGATTACCAGTTCAAGCTGGTAACATTTTCGGTCATGGACGATGGAAGCCAGTTTGAGCTAGTTTTTGGACATATGGTAGCGTGTGGCCTAGAGGGGGCAGCGTATGGGACGGGACCCGAGGGAGCCTACCGTACAGCTATATATTTATATTTTTGGGTGGGTATTGTGTTGTTCCGAATTTTTAGATATTTATATGAGAAAACATTTCAATTGCAGAGTTCCATTTCCCGTAGCCTGATGTTATGGGCGTTCGCTGACTCAATTGGCAATGACACAGCTAAAAAACAATAAACAATTTGGAAGATCATCTCAGAATCGTTAGATCATTAATTATTTGTGGGGGGAGAGCACTTATTGAAGTTTGTCACTTTTCATTAAGCAAAAGATGTAAAATTCCCAGTGCAAAAATGACCAGAAAGTGCAAATTGATGAGTAACTTTATTGAGGTAGAACTGCGCTGGTAGCAGAGCAATTATCTTGTGATCAAGCTGATCTTTCAAGTCTGGACAAAGTGTGCCATCGATAAGGTAGCAAGATAAACTAGGAATGGAATGCTCGATACATCAGCTGATTAACACGAGTCTCTCTCTCTCTCACTCTCTCTCACAATAGAATCAGAGAGTGCTAACACTTGTGGAGGGGAACTTTGTACAGTTCCATCGAGCTGTGATTTCCAATGCGCAGTCATTAAGATCACTCATTAAAACAGAGATCTCTTAAAATATATATGTATACCCCCCACAGTTATACAGATATTTGGATGTGTATTTGCTTTATATACCATAACTCGACTGCATTGAACCGCATCTGTAACTGGTTAAATCAAACAAAAAGTTTGTGTGTTGTGTGCACCAATTTATGCAGATAATTATAACAGCAACAACAAATACTTACTGAAGCTAAAATTGAAACAGCATTTGACTGGATCGGCATGGAACGAGAGAGAGATGCACAATAGAAGAGCGTCGGCGTCGGCGTCGGCGGTGGTACGAGGTGGTTCAACCGACTAAAACGATAAGCACACTCCCTTTCTCCGTCTCTCTCCCTCCATCCACGTTCACGTCTCCGTTGGTTTTGCACTAAATTGCATTGCATAAAGATCCAAACCGAAACCGAAACAGAAACCGAAACCCGCCTCTAACCGGTAAACGCTACTAACTAACTATCTATGTCTCTGGGCAAAAAAAAAGCAGCAGCAACAATACTAATTCTATTGGAGATACAACAAGTTGTCGCATATATTGAATGTAGATGCCTATGTACATGTGCTATACATATACCCTACACTCTACACTGTGGGGGATGTATGAACGCTGTAATATTCGGTCACATGAGCATTCTTGCGCTGTCAACAATTTGGATGATATTTATACATAGTATATACTCATCAAGAGGCATTCAAAGTCCAAGAATATGTACATATGTATTTCGTGCTGTTTTTTTGAGTTCTTCAAAATAATCTACAGAATATTTTACATATAAAAATGTATATGTATGGTAGGGCGAAAAAAAACTTTTGTTTTTCTCAAGTAATCAAAATAAGTAAAATTTCTTGATATTATATTTAAATAAAATTGAAAAAAGAATGCTTTTATTGTCATGATAAAGCGAGCATGAGGTATACATATGATGGTTCATGCCATTTGATCTTAAATCCGCTTTGAATATATGTACATATGTACTTATTTAAAAAAGGTCTTTTAAATGTTGTCTACTCATCCCTTAAAAATGTGAATGGCCATCCGTCTACGTTGATTCCCATGGAGAGCAGAGTGCATTGAAATCTATGTATGTAGTTATATTGTTTGTTAAGTTTTTATGGCTGTTTATAGAACGGGATATAAAACTGGCGCGTGCAAGTTCAACGACAACCGTTAGGTATTCAGCGCATAATCGATTGTTCCTATAAACTGAAATCGAAATCGAGTTTCAAATGAGCAAATAAAATAAAGTTCCTTGGGCGGGCGGCATAGTTTGAGTTTTGGGTTTGCGCTTTACGCTTTACGCATGTAGACGACGACGATCAACGTCTACTATGTCGATCGATTAAGATAGCAACAGTTGTTTATGATCAGCAGACATGCCGTGTGCACACACACACATCCATATATTTTATACATATGTATGTATGACAAATCAACTCCTTGATCCACGATCGGTTGGTTGACGAACCGTCGAACCCCCGAAGCCGCGCTAATAAAAAAAAAAACTCCAGCAGCAGCAGCAGACTGGCAGCCAGCAGCCAACAGCGACACCAGCGTCGATCGTCGCTTATCTGCTCACATATAAACTAAAGTCGGGGGGAATAATTTCTCATTTGTAATTTAAAAGGCGGCGTGCGCGGATCGAGCAGAGAACAAAGCGCCAAAAGCGGGGATCGAAGATCGTTAACAGTTTTACAGTTGTTGCCGTTTACGTTTGCGTGTGTGCTGAAAACATTGCTAAAACAAAACTCGACTCAAACACACACTCCACCCCACACACAGACACACTCCACACACAGAGCGAGCGAGAGAGAGAGAGAGAGAGAGAGATCGAGAGGCGGTGCACTACTGAAATAACGGAAGAGGGGCCAAAGCGAAAGAGACACAAGAAGTGCGTGGAGGAGGCAGCCAGCAGTCAGCAGCCCAGCCCCACTTGTCGTTCTCGTTCTCGTTGCGTGTGGTTTTGCGTTTTAATTGCGTTTTGTAATTGTTACGCATGCGCCAAGAGCAAGCCAAGTGTTAAGGAAGTAGAATATAGAGAGACAACGAACAAATTGTGTTTTGTGTGTGTGTGTGTGCGTTCGTGTCCGTGCGAGACCCTTAACCCATACATTTGAACCGATCCTGTGTAACCGTGGCGAAGGAACTGAGCAACTTGCTAACGTTGCAAAACAATAATCCCGAGATGACACAACAGCCGCAATGGGGCATAAACTTATCACGGTGTAAGTGTCCCATGTCCCATGTCACCCCCCTCTATCCAAACAGTTCTTCGCAAAAACTTGCCGTGTTATCTGCCAAGTCCGTAAACCCCGAACCCAACTTTGGGAGTGTGCTTTATGGAATATTAAATTCGTATCGAATGGGGGGGATGGATACGTTGAACTCCGCTCGGAGTATTCTTGAAATGAAATGTTTAAGCAAAGTATATTTGAGTGGTTTAACCGACATTGACCGACAACAAAATAAATTCCTAAATATATAATATATGTATACAGTTTTGTACATTGTATACCGACGCGATGCGATGCGATGTATAATGCATAAATGACAAAACAATGACAGAAGCGTTTCTGCCAGACACTTCCGATTCAGTTAGTGGTTTTATTAAGTATTTCGTGTCTCGCATTTTATTTCGGCTTTTTTGTTTGTTGCCTGCCATTCATCGTGGACTGGTCTGGACTGGAATGCTTCTTTTCCATCACATGTCCAAGCTGTTGGCATTCCCGGCACGCGTTAACATAATTCATACAAAATATTTTGCATACGATTTGCATGTGAAGTGAATCGTGGAACGGGGAAGTCGCTGCGTCAGATGTGTGTAGGCTGCTCAAAGCTAAACGCTTTGCAATGGTTCGAAAAACAGTTATTTATTATTTTATTGTAAACAGGAATGGGCTGCCAGCTTCCTCTGGCAACCTTTTGTTTAGTTCTTTTTTGGACAAGGTCAATGTTATACAGGAAGATTAGGCAATGTTGGGATCTATCTTTCAGCTGAGTTTCTCCCTTATTCCTCATTTCAATGAGGAATGTCCATTACTTACAGTTTTGTTCTGGCTTTATTTGCTTTTACTTGCCATACAATCAATAGCCTGTGGGCTGTAGCTGTAGCTGTTTGCTTAGCAAACAAAAACACACAGCGAATCGAATAAGCCTGGGAATGGGTTGAGTTTAACGTCTCGGAACGTACTCACATGGTTAGACGTGAGTTCCTAAGTATTTTGTTAGCCTAATGGGTTGTTAAGTCTATGACTTGGCCATAAATCATCGGATGCAGGGCATTGATTGGCACTTCAATGAATAATACACACCCCGCCAGAGTGCCTAAAACACCGAAAAAGTACCCCAACCCAGCCGCAGCAAGCTAATCGCTTTGTTTCATCACTTTCCCTGCACTCGTCTGCCCCAATTGTTTGATGCGATGCACGCTTATCGAACATGTGCGGGAAAGGGCGGTGAGGCGGTGGCATATCTCGTGGGCAGCAATCGCACATTACACTCGCCCCCCTCCCAAGCCCATTGACATAATTTTCGCAAGACCGCGGAAATGCAAGCGCCTCCAAGAAAATGATGTAAAAATGTGAAAATGTAATATTTGTACTTGTGCCGTGGCCGTGCTATCAATGCTCTGGTCTGGAACTGGACAGCAAAGATTGTCATACATACATACATACATACATACATATGTATGTACATACATTATATGTATATATGTACATATGCATGTATGTAATAATGAAGACAAAGAGTCAGAGACCCAGAAATGTCAAGAGACAGACAGGAGATTGTTTTCACTTTCTCATTATGGCAATGAGTGCATGGACACATATAATATATAAATACTTATAGGCAGTGAGAGATCTATTGGTTGGACACATAACTTTTCATACTAGGAGTTTTCTAGTAATTATCTACTGGAAAGTTTTACTCTAGAACGGGTTTACACTAGAAATTCATCAGAATTTATTCAGTACAATATTTACGCCACACTTCAATGATGTATCCCATTAAACTCCATACAGATTATAAAGATAATAAAATACTAGAAACTAATACCTAGATGGGGTAAGACTGTGCGTGTGTGTGTGTGTGTTACTCAATCCTGATTAAATCTTAACCAGCTTATCGTGTGTTGTGATGGGACTCAGACCGAGTGCGATCATATATTAACGCCAATAAGCGTGATTGGCCAAGTGAAATATAGCCATAATTCTGGAAGCATGATTAGCGCCTACATTTACATACATACGTAAAGACGGTGGCCTAATCAACTTATCACTTGGGCGAATTGTACAGAAAAGAGGTTGTTTTTTGTATATTTTTATTATTTATTTGACACTCGTGCGACTTTGGGGCGCTTATAAATTTTTCTTGTCGGCTTCGTTAAGCGACATGTCAAATATTGACACATGCTTAATTTTGCCAGCTTTTGGAGTTTCGCTTTTTCAAGCATGCAAAATATTTAATAATAATGTTAATTTATAAATAAAATAGGATGCCAGCCGGTGACGTCTTTTGGGGAAGTTTAATAAACTGAAACGAGTGAAAGATTGGTGTCTCGTTCTTCATAATAAAATCAAACATTGCCGCTTAATGGATCTTACGTAGCTGGTGGGGAAATGTCAATAGATGATCTAATAATATGATCATGAATTGGATTGTGATTATATTTACCTACGAACGCGGCTCGAGTTGTTTGCTCATTTCCAATGCAGACCTCAATGTTGTTTATTTGCTCTGCTAGTTAGAACAGAATAGAGAACGCTTTCGAATACTCATAGTATATTGTAGGTCAATGTTAACCCTTATTCTTAAGAAACTCTCTCAGTTAATTGATCAATTTAACCTTCAAAGTTGATGAACTTGAGCCACCAATTGAGTAAAGTTCCGCTGCCCCAAAAATGGGAGCCCTAAAAATGTACACTGAAGACCATTTAATTGGCAGTGCCTTCAGACCCGTTGCTTTATGGTCATTACTGGTTCTCCGTTTGATATACTTGAGATTATGCCATATGCACTCCAAGTGGTTTTATCGCAGATCTATCACACTTGGCACCTTATCAAAGCACAATTCCGCTTAACAATTTGATTATGATATTGGGGGGCGATGTCGTATAACCAGCGCGTTCCATCGATCGGCGCGCTTGGTGATTATTAGTGGCCCAAAGAACAAGTGCATAGCGCCGTTCTTTTCCATGGTACCCACCATAAACAATACACAGCCCAGGAAGCACTCGTATAGAGCCATAATTTCCACACAACGAAAATTCATTAAATTCCATTCCAGTAACAATGCAATAAAATAATTTCGAAATGAAGGCAAATAAATTTTCACCACACTCGACTTTACAGACAGCTCAACATATAATCATATTTTATTTAAATGATTTATATTAAACGATTTAAAGGAATATATATGGTTATAATATAATAAATGCTGTCAGGGGAAGCATTTTTCTGTGAGTCTGTAGATAATTATATGAGGAATGGACGTGCTTGGGAAATGTTATTCCCCTGGGATTTGTTTGCTAAGAAGAAAGTTTCAGTTGGAAGATTTGTGTATCTTAAAATCTATGAAATATAAGTGAAACATACAATAGATATTAGATCCACTCTTAAGTCTACAGTGAATATAAAATGACATCCACTGACATAAAAGGGCATTTGTTCATCTCTACGAGTACCTAATTGAAATATAAAATTAAAGAGCTTACAGAAATTTCGATCATGTTAATGGTAGACTAAAAGAATGGTTCATCCAACTCTTTGGATCACTTTTCGTTATCAATCAGTAATTTTCTTTTAAGGTGCAATCTTTTTAAAGTCAAATCGTGTGCGATAAATGATAGACTCAACTATGTAATTGATAGATACTCGTACTCGTAGCGCTACACTCGTAGGGCAATCAACTGCAATTTGAAGTTTATCAGCGCAAATTGATTTGTACCCAATTGACCAGCAGCAGCACCAGCAGCAGCACCAGCTCCAGCTCCAGCGATGAAGTGCTCTTCAAACTCGTCAAACTATTTATTCGCACGCTAACCAAATTAAATTGTCTAAAATTGTTTAAAACATTATGCGGTGCCCACGTGCCCTGCCCTGCCATCAAAATGTTTGACGCAAACAATTAATAAACAATAAAAACAACTCTGTTCACTCTCTCATTTGTTCTCCTTTTGTTTTTGCAGATTTTATAATACCGCAACGTGTGATATTGGCCATAATGGGGTTCCTGGCGATCCTCAATGCCTACACAATGCGTGTGTGCCTCTCGCAGGCCATCACGGTGCTGGTCATTAAGAAGAATGCCACGGACGAGGATAGTGATGTGGCCATCTGCGAACCGGATGAGCTGGATGATGGCACCAGCGTGAGTTTCAGCTAAAAAATGTTCATAAAGGAAACCCATTTTAAAGTTTAAATTTCCCCACAGTCTGGCGGCATTTATGATTGGTCGGAGGAGCTGCAGGGTCTGATCTTGTCCTCCTTCTACATTGGTTACATTGTCACGCACATTCCCGGCGGTCTGCTGGCCGAGAAGTTTGGCGGCAAATGGACCCTGGGCCTGGGCATCCTCTCCACAGCTGCGTTCACCATGCTCACACCTCTGGCCATTGAGAAGGGTGGCTCCGACTGGCTGATTGTGTCCCGTGTGCTGATGGGTCTGGGCGAGGGCACCACCTTCCCTGCCCTCAGTGTGCTCCTCGCTGCCTGGGTGCCTGCCAACGAACGTGGCAAGCTGGGAGCCTTGGTCTTGGGTGGCGGCCAGGTGGGCACCATCATGGGAAACCTTCTCTCGGGCGTCTTTCTGGATGATTACGACTGGCCATTTGTGTTCTACTTCTTTGGCGGCCTGGGCGTAATTTGGTTTGTCATCTTTGTAAGTGTCAAATGCACCTTGAGCACTTCTCTTTCCGACTCTAACTTTATGATTTGCTTGCCCCGAAAGGTTTTCCTGTGCTACAGCGATCCCTCGAGCCATCCCTTCATCAAGCCCAGCGAGAGGGAGTATCTTGCCAAGGAGATTGGAACAATTGGCCGCAACGAGAACCTGCCCCCAACGCCCTGGAAGGCCATCCTTACGAATCTGCCCATGTTTGCCCTGGTCTCTGCTCAGATTGGCCACGATTGGGGCTTCTACATTATGGTGACGGATCTGCCCAAGTACATGGCCGATGTGCTGCAGTTCTCCATCAAGGCCAACGGCCTGTACTCCTCCCTGCCCTATGTGATGATGTGGATTGTGTCCGTGGGCAGTGGCTTCGTTGCCGATTGGATGATCCGCAGGGGCATCATGAGCACAACGAATACCCGCAAGGTGATGACCGGTCTGGCTGCCTTTGGTCCGGCCATCTTCATGGTGGGCGCCTCATACGCTGGCTGTGATCGTGCTCTGGTTGTCGTACTCTTCACCATTTGCATGGGTCTGATGGGCGCCTACTATGCGGGCATGAAGCTCAGTCCCTTGGACATGAGCCCCAACTATGCTGGCACCCTGATGGCCATTACAAACGGCATTGGAGCCATTACGGGCGTCATAACGCCATATCTGGTGGGAGTGATGACACCAAATGTGAGTTAAAGAAAACTCTTTTGTAGTTTCAAGCATTCTTAATGGAACATTCCTCTAATTTTAGGCCTCGCTGCTCGAATGGCGCACTGTGTTCTGGGTGGCATTTGGCGTGCTGTGCGTCACCGCGGTCGTCTACTGTCTGTGGTCCTCTGGCGAGGTGCAACCGTTCAACAATGCACCCATACAGCCACGCTCCGTGGACTTTGAGGCCGAGGAGCGCAAGACCACGGACCTGAAGAGTCTCGAGTACAACGGCAACAACAGCACAACAGTGCATCAGCGTGGGGAGCGTAGCTCCTAAAGCGGCAGCCCCCACAGAATGTGCCATACTCTAGTGCTCTAGTTCAAAATGCTGTACCCCCGTGTGTCCATTTGTAGATATAATACGCATACGCCCTTAACTTTACTGCTCTTCCAGATAGCTAGCTAGTTGTATAGTATTTCCGATCTGGCCACCAGGGCCACCAAACTAATTAACTCTTAAGCAAAGAATTTACTTATGTACCAAGGGAGCAGCACGCCTCCTGTGTGTACAATATTCCTGTTATAGATAGCATAATAATCCTTAATCCCTAATCCCTAATCCCTAATCCCTAATTAATACTGTCGTCCTGTCGTTCGCCCAGCACATGTCCCCGCACATGCAACGTACTCTCTTAATTATTATTTAGTGTTTAATCGAAGCAGCAGCTGAAACGCTGAAACGCTGAAACCGATTTCAACGTCTAAGTTTAGATGGAGCAAGAAATGTATACCGAGTTCGTATTTGCCCGTAAAGCACCCACCCCCCCGTTGGATGGGCTGCTGAAATATTGTTTGAGTTTTAAAATTGTTGATCAATGTGTAACGCCAAAACGTGTTTTTAACAAACTCCGTTAAGACATAATTGTTTTTATGATGTTAGCCAAATAAAGTGCATAAAGAAAATAAACCAAAAAAAGAGAAGGAGCAATCCATTGAAATGGGAGACCTCTCCAAAAAGAGATCACTTTTTGGGCAATGACAACGTGTTTCTTGATTCGACTTTGCTGTCAGATATTTGTGCTAATTCCAAGAGCAAAGTTTTCTATTTAATTTATTCTACAAAAGTGACTTCCATTTGCATCCCAAATGTTTTCCCTCCAGCAAATGCTACGCGATCTTTTCAGCTGTGAGTATAACCCACCCAGGTTTAGCTTTTCTCAAATATTTCCATGAATCAAGCAAGATTTCAGTGTGCAGCAGCGTCTGGTGCTCTGCTGCTTCAGCCTGCTGGCCATCATCAATGCGTACACGATGCGATTATGCTTGGACCTCTCCCTGAAGCGCATTGTCCTGGAAGGTTGTGCTCGTCCACCTCCTCCGCAGCATGCAGCTGCCAAGATCCACAATTGGCTCACAGAACTGTCTGCCCGATTGAATCAGACGGAGAACATGTTAAGAGAAAGACTTCGGGCTGGAAGGGAGCATCTTTACCACCCCACCAAGAGGCCTCTGCCTGCAATCAAGCAGCCCCTTAAGCTGCCTTCCCGAGAGTCGGTATCTCGCGAGCGGATAAGCTGCTCTGAGCTGTGGTCGCGACAGACACAAACCCTGGTCACTGTGGCCTTCTATGCCGGCTACATGCTCACCCACATCCCAGGCGGCCGCCTGTCGGAGCGTTGTGGCGGCAAGTGGATCCTTGGAGCTGCCATAATCTTCTCGGCCATTCTCACGCTGCTAACGCCGCTGGCTGTGCGCCATGGTGGTCCGTATGCCCTGATGGCTGTCCGACTAGGCATTGGACTCTGCGAGGGTCCCACCTTTCCGGCAGTGTCTGCCATGCTGGCCCAGTGGGTGCCGCAGGAAGAGCGCGGACTTCTAGCCAGTGGCGTGCTGAGTGGAGGAGAGATTGGCATCACTTTGGTGCAGCTGCTCAGTGGTTTGGTGATGGCCGAGGAGGATTGGCCGGTGGGCTTCTATGTGGTTGGTGGTGGGGCAGTTGCCTGGTTCCTAGGATTTGTGAGTTGTGTGCCGTGGACTTGAGCCGTCGACTGTCTTAGCTGTCTCCTGTCTTACCGTAGATCCTCATCTGCCATAGCAAACCCGACAACTGTCCGTACATACAGAGCGAGGAGCGGGACTACATCAAGAGCCATGTGAGTGCCACACTGCTGGTAGCAGCCGACAATGCGGAAGGGCAACAACCACCGAAAGCGCCCTGGAGGAGCATGCTGATGAGTACGCCGTTGTGGGCCTTGGTTTCCGCCTCCATGCAGCACGATTGGAGTCAGCAGCAGTTCGGCCAGGAGTTGCAGGAAGTGCTGGAAGAACTCAGAGCCAAGGGCAGCACTCTGTGGGATGAACTGGAGGCCAGCATAATGGTAACAGCTCCGTATATCGGCAATTGGCTGGCGTCCCTCAGCACGGGCACCCTGAGCGACTATCTCATAGCGGAGCAGCTGCTCAGTCGCACAGAGACGCGTCGCTTCATGTCCTGGCTGGTGTTTGTGTGCGGCTCCATGTATATGGTACACCTGAAATCGGATGGTGCTCGCATCTGGCGTGTCCTGGCTGTGGGCGCTTACTATGCGGGCATCAAGTTGCTGCCTCTGGACATGAGTCCCAATTACGCTGGCACCCTGATGGGCATCTCAAATGGCATGGGTGCGCTGCCCGGCCTGCTGCTGCCCTACCTCCAAGAGTTCGAGGCTGACCACGCCATTGTGGGCAGCGTGCGTTCCGCTCTCTGGCTCATTTGTTCCGCTTACATATCCGCCGAAGTGCAGTCCTACAATCAACCTCAGGGCTAAGGCAACAAAGTCGCCACGTTACAGCTTGTACTTAATTTAATCTTACGTTTAAGCGTAGGCCATGTGTTCAGATTCCTAAGGCAAACAAAGATTTTACATGAAATCAAATCTAGACGCTTCAACGTCATCGTCGTACAATTTTATGCTAGAACTAAGGTTGGGGCGGGGGCACAAACAAGCGTTTGTTTTTGTTTTGTTTATATATATAAATAACAGGATTAACTTAACTACAAATAATGGGGTCTGCTGCCCGGTGGTGATGGTGTCCGGCATGCCAAATGCTAAATGCACATCTCTGCCGCTAAATACTCTCTACATGCCCGTGCCGCTCAATTGATTCATGGCCGAGATGGCGTTCATGTCGATGCCCAGATCCTTGGTGACATTAATTTGGGCAATGGCCGCATTGCGCAGCGAGTAGGAATGAACGACCTCCTCAAAGCTTTTGGAATAGCGAATGGCCTGCTCGAAGAGTTCAACAGCATGCTTCAGGTTGGCGCGCTGCACTTCGACGGTGCCGAGCGTCTCGTAAGCTTGCTCACATTTCGGGTCCAGCTCAATGGCCTTGTTGAGCGTATTGATAGCCGAATCAACATCGCCACGCCACTGCAGTGTCATGACAGCCTGGTGGACAAGCAGCGAAGCATTTGTCGGCGCCAACTTCATGGCCTTGTCATAGTATTGCTGCGCCTGCTGGAAATTCTGCTGGTCGGCCATCACCTGAGCCAACATGCTGTAGCACTCCACACATGTGGGGAACTGTTCGATTGCCTGCTCCAGCTTCCGCACCACACCTTCCAGACGCAGCTGATAGTTGGAAATTAGCGCCAAACGGTACTCGGTGTAGCATTTCTGAACGTAAGCAATGGCATGATTGGGAGCCAAGCGAATTGCCTTCTCGAACTGCTCCAGGGCCGGCTCAATGCTGTCCAACAGCAGCAGAATCTGTGCTCGCTGATGGTAAACATCAGCATTGTCGGGCTTCAACTTCTCGGCTGCTTCGAAATCGGCCAGAGCCTCCTCGCGCTTATTTACTTGCATAAAGAGTGAGGCACGCTTCAGGTAGGCATAGGCGCGGATTGTGTCATCCGCATCGGCTGGAAAGAGAATCCAGTGTTGGTAAGGGCTCACATTTAGGTGAAGAACTGTTCTTACCGTTGCCGATAATGGCATCAAAGTCTTGTTCGCTCTCTGTGTAGGTGCCACACAGAAGATGGATTGTGCCACGTAATAGCAGGGCCTCCACCTTGTACTGGGACTCGGATTCAGATGATTCGATTTCCTCTGTGCAGGCAGGTATAATTTCATCAAACTTCTCCTCGCGGAATGCGCTGTGGGCACGCAGGAAACCGCGCGCCGGTGTGTCCGCCATAGTCGATGGCGGCACGTTCATGGTCTGCAGTGGATCGGCGACAAAAGATTGCAAATATGTTCGGATAAAAGAGGTGGACGGCACTACAGGAACCCGGTCGCGCATATGCTTCTCGGCATCCACGCGCCCCGTCTCCTTGAGCACACGATCCGCATACATTATGCTCTGATTATTTTGGAACATTTCCAATATGCAGGTGGCAGTGACATCTTTCAAGCACTCTAGCATGTCTTTTGTGGCCTCGTGGGCACGTGCACGACGGAAGTAGGCCTTTGCATAGCGACGATTATAGGTCAAGGAGCTGGAGCAGTCTTCCTTCACCTTGCTCCACTTTTGCAACTTCTCGTAGGAGGCGGCGCGATTCTGGTAGAAGATTGCCATGTCAGTGCCGTTCTCCGGGGGGCACTTGTCAATGGCCTTGTCGTAGAAGATGATGGCTTCGTCGTACTTGCCATTGCGATAACAGTTGTTGCCCTCGTTCTTGTAGCTGTTGGCCTCCTTAACGGGTGACAGTTTCTCTCCCAGCTCGGCCGATTTTTGCTTTCGCTCTTGTTCCTTGTCCGGCGCTGTTCCGTCAATGGATGTCGCTTGTTTCTCGATCTTTCCCTTGGTCCGTTTTTTCTCCTCGCCACCGGTCGTGGCGTTCATCTTCCTGTACATATAAGTGCCCAGGCCGATGGCCAGGGGCGTGCCAATAAATAACGCAATCTGCCAGTTGCTCAACTTTACTGAGCGAAAGTTGAGTGCCATTCTGATCTAGTGTGTCTTCTGTTGGGCTGCAAATAAATAATAAAACAAATTGTGTAATAGTCCGTTTGCTTATCAACGGGCACGGGCCGGGCTGAGCTCCCGCTAAATGCCGGGTGCAGCCCCGAACACGTCTCCTAACCCTCAACCCCATTGATTTTTTCACACTCATTTGCGCCACTCAGCGACACGACACAGTACTTACTCTTTAAAAAACTTTATACTGAGGTCAATTTAGCAACTATGAGTTGTCGTTTGTAAGAGTTTCCTTTTCGAATTGTAGGATTTACAATGAAATTGTTTATCAGGCCTGCTGATTGTCGAAAAAAGGAAAGAGACGACCGAATTGGAAAATACGAAAAGGTGCTGGCCAGTGCTGACATGTGCGCGCAGTCCGACAGCTGTTGGGTGCCAATCACACAGAAGCGCGTGCAGTCAGGGTAAAAAAAAATGCAAATTAATTTACATATCCATGTATTTAAAATTAATTTACTAGAAATGGAATACGCGGGTGGCTCTATGAGCGTATTTTCTCTCCAGAGTCATCAGTGGTACGTTCCGGGGCAGGTGCCGGGCTCTCTGGCTGGCCTTCGTCACTAGTGAAGACCTTGTATAGGTTTTCGGGCTTCACCAGTCCGTGGGAGTCTGCATAGCGCAGGAGATCACAAATGATGGGCGATTCCACGACCAGGATATACTGGCATGTCTTTGGCTCCAGCAAGTACATGGACACGGCCGTTCCACTGGTGGTCACGGGCGTGCACGTCAGCTTGACATCCACCTCACGCGGCTGGCTGGTGCGATCACAATGTGTTCCCTTCACATAATGGTGCCAAATGGACGACGAGAAGCCGGTTCGGCGTGCTCCCTTGTCGGGATTTGATATGGCCCACTGGCGGTGTGACTCTTCCGAGAAGTAGCCAAGGAACAGTTCAACTTCACTATTCTTATCCTTGTGGAACTGTCGCACATGCTTGCCATAGCAGAATTCATAGCGCCACCAGCCGTTGCCCTGTAGAAAAGAAAATATTGGATTAAATATATTGATCTCAGTGGAAATTTCTTACCCCAATTAGGCAGTTGGCTCCCGATATAAACTGCCTGATGGGAGTCAGCTCATCGATGGAGCTGGGCTGTGTTCCAAGAGAAGATCCCGCTTTGGCGAGCAGAAGCTGTTGATATTCCTTCTCGGATTCCACTCCACCTTTGTTTATCAACTCCATTATGATTTTGTCGACATCGCCGCTGTGTTTCAGGGTTATTACTTCTCCCTCCTTTGGCCACGCCTTTGTAACAGGCTTATTTTCGGCATCGTTTGAGAGTATCAGATCGGACTCACTTTCGGCCCACTCGCTTAGCTCTGAGCGCAGCATGCTCAATGGCTTATGGGGCTCTGTTTCCGAATTGAAGCACTTGATGGTGGTCTCTTGGGTCTCCTCTGCATGGAAGCCAGGAATGACGCACAATGCAGAGGTCAGTATAATCGCCTCATAGTTGCAGGAGGAGGTCTCTTTGAAGGAGTAAATATCATCCTTGCCATGGGGATAGCACACATAGCGAACCGTTGTGGTGCGTTTAGCATCGATTATATAACACATGGTTCCGTCGGTGTACTCCATTTCGAAATACGGATAGCGCGTATTGTCAATCTTTATGGTCTTGTACTTGTGCTTTCCTCCATCCTTATGTTCCGCTTCCCAGGCCTTTGACAGCAGCTCCGTCTTCTCCTCGCTCCATTTGCCCAGGTAGTACTCGTGGAACTTGACGTTCTTGCCCTCGCGCTCCTCGTGATACTGCCGCACATGATGTCCATGGCAAATCTCGTAGGACCAATACGCTTCGATGCGGTACGAACAGGTTTGGCCAGAGAAAGTCGGCTTCAATAAACTGATTGGAGCTGCAAGAAGCGTACATTGGAAGGAATTACATTTATTACAACTAAATGTTTGCCACTTACACAGCTCTGGCATGTCGGACTTCTCCTCCTCCTTTGGTTTCTCCAGGGCGGGTATAAGACACTCGTATTTCTCTTTGTCGGTTGTAATGAACGATGTCAGTGCGTTGCCCAAATCCTTATAGACAACAACAAATATTAGCCACACACTCTGGCTTTAAATCATTCATTCGTAGACTTACTGGTTCACCACTTATCAAATCTGGCACGGCCCAGTCAATTCTGTACAAAATGGAATCGTCGAAATCCTTTGCTTCGTGGGACGCCACAGCGCAGAACAGTCCAAGCAGCAGCGCTGCTCTTATTGTATTTACTTCAACGCCCTTCATTTTTACTTTTAAAATGAGGCTACTTGAGTATTTTCATGCCAAAAAGAAATAAATAAAAATTGTTGAGCTACGTGTTGTTTTCCAAAACTAATGAGCAGCTGTTCGCCCCAGCCCGCGCAGTACTGTGAGTGCTTAAACAGAAAGAAGAAGAATTTAACCCGTTGCACTGTGAATGTTGGTTTTAAAACACAGATAAATCTATCGTACTGTGACCGTTGTAAAATGGAGACTTTAGAGGTTATTTTCAACATTTTGTTTTTATTTTCATTAATAAATATGGTGGGTTCCCTAACTCGTCTTCTCTGCAGTCGCTGTTTCCGTGCTCCCCCAGCCTGACTCTTTCGTCTGACCATGATCCAGTGGCATCTTTTCAATGGCATCCAGAATGAATTTAACGGAATGTGCTGTGCGCGGCAGCCACTCCATAATGCGGGAAGTGGTTGAGACCGGTGGCGGCGAATCGGCATCATCAACGAAATCAGCATCGCCGCCAGACAATGAGCGAACACCACCCAAATAATCCGTATAATCGTAGTCGCTCGTCAGCGGATTTACCTTGGAGTAGTAAATGGCAGCAAATGTCGAATAGATAATCAAAAGCGCTGTGCCCACCTATTGTTTGGAGGATTCAATTAGCTTAAACAAGTAACTCAGCTCAAGTGACATTAACTAACCTGAAAGGCAGCCCAAAACTTGTAGGAGCCCTCCGTAATGACGAAATCGTAGTAGCCCTTGAGTGGATCACCCTTGATGTAACGACCCTCACCAACATCCGTGTCTGCCTTGTCCTCTGCAGCCGCCTCACGTCTCTGGCGGAGTCCGCGCACGGAACTCACATCAGCCTTTTCACCCTTCAAACCCTTTTCAACCTTCTGAGGCCCAGGCTCAACTGTTGATGATGGCGTCGCCTCTTTCTCCTCCTCCTCCTCCTCCTCCTCCTCAGAGCTATCCGCAGCTGGAGTTGTACTCGAAGTGGATGTTGGCTTTTTCGTTGTGGTGCTCTTTTTGTTTTGATTCTTTTTATCTCCTTCGATTCGCGGTGGCTTTTTCGAATTAATTCTCATTTTTTGTTGCTGCTGCTGTCTAAGTCGATTCTTTTCGGCCTGTTTTTCCGCCTGTTCCTTGCGGAATTGTTCTGTGCTCTTTTGATGACGCTCAGCCATGGAATTCCAGGCGCTCATTAGTGCCTGGTAGAGATCCCAGAGTTGCTTTAGACTCTTGAGAACAGTTACCAAAGTGGATTCCTCCTGAACGGGAACAATCGCAGAATTTTGTGTGGATTGGGGTTGTGTCTGCTTGGCCAGCGGGGTCTCCGCCAGTGGACGACGCTGGAAACCCATGGGGTAGTCATACACCTCATCATAGGCAGGGTAAGGGGCGCTGTAAATGATAAAAGTTAGGATTCACTGAGAAATTAAAAAATAAAGCCGATTTTTACCGATTTGGCGGGGTTTGGAGCTTCCTGTGGTTTCCATCCCCAGCCGTAGGATGCGTTGCCACGGGCGATGCCTTCCAGGGCGCATAAAAGCCATCATAAGGGCGAGCTTGAGCCGCTCTGCCCTCAGATGAACCATCTCCTTCTCCATAGAAACTCTCTTCCGACTGCTGTTGCTCCTCCTGCTGATATGGATAATGTCCTGGCCCATAATCCTCGGCTGCATCATAATATGGATCCTGTTCGTTGGAGTCTTCTCTGCTCTGTGGTGGACCAAACAAATCTTGGCGCTGTGCCACAATGGGATCCATGCTTTCTGCATTCACAACCACCGCCCGCTGCTCCTCATAGAAGTCCTTACTCTGCCTGGTTGAAGGTTGCTCCTGAGTGGGAACACTGGAATTACTGGCCTCCCTGGCTATGCGCTCCACTGTGGCAGTCTCTTCTTTCGTGTCGGTTTGAGTTGCCGCTTGAAAATGGCTCCACATGCGATTCAGAATTAACAAGTCAGCACCATTAGATTGTGCACGTTCAGCCTCAATCAAAGCCACCACCGTGAGTGTGGACACGAAAAGCAACACGATGATCAGCCACATGGACGACAGACGCCGCTGCGACTGCTTCTCTGGCATCTCTTTGTACGCTGACATTATCCGTATTACAATTTTTCTTTTATGAACTGAAGTTTTTACTATTCCGGAATCCTTGATTTCGGATTTCTAGGCGCGGGCACGGCCAGTCGGCTTGCAGTTCAGTCGTCAACTAAACGAAGAATCTTCAATGATGATCCAGAAAAACCATCGCTCGGGGCATCGATGGTGCTAATACAAGGGAAATGTATCCACATTTACTACGAATATCTAGAACATCTTCGCGGGAGCCCCACCAAGTCTTCAGCTCGTTGAAAGGTGTTAATCCGTGTGCCGCGTGCATCATCGTTATTGGGCCGCTGCTCCAGTTTCGATTTAACGGTTCATTCGCCATCGAGTGCCACACCAATTAACATGTCCACAAGACATACTGGATGTCTTTGGTCCATTCCCATTCATTCTGATGCATAATCCCCGACTTGGTTGTTGTTGACTAGAAATTCGTTTTTTTTCGCGGTGAAAGTGTGCAATACTCGATAGGATTCATTGGAACATAGAAAATTTAAGAATCGAGCCCAAAGCGGAGAAATTTAGTAAGTCGTAATTGGTCGTAGTAGATCTTGGTATGTCGCCCAACGTCGCGTCGTGATGCACCGTCTGACGTGTGGCACGCGAACACTCACGACTTACAAAGTTGACTTATTTACCAATAGAATACAGGTACATATTTATGTTTGTATATATGTACATGTATATGGATACTTCAAGAGGAGCGTGTGTCTTTCATTAAAGTCAAAGAAAGAGATCTATTTCCACACTCAAAGAGTGGCCAAAAGGCCACAAAGGTGGCTGGTCTAGGGCATTGCGGGTGGTACTTATTACAAGTTTATCGAATATTACTAGAGAAGTTCATATAGACAAGCGACTTAAGTTGAGGACGAGTTTTAGATACGTAAACACAGCGAATAAAACGCGACTGTCAGGAATACATACATAAGTGATCTACAAACTGTTCCCAATTGTGATTTTAGGGGTTCCTTATGTATTTACATAAGTACATATGTTCATACGTAAATATATGTACATATGTATATATGTACTTTCAAATTTCATGAGATCTACAAGGCGTTATCCTCGCCAAATTGCCAATTCTGATGATTTTTCTAGATTGCACTGAAACCTTAATGCGTCATTTGTTTACCGCACCCCGACAAACTAGTTTCATTGCCACCCCAAAATTGTTTATTTGATTCTACGGATTTCACACTGGCTCTTCTGTTGTTGTTTTGTTTGAAACCTCTTGATTTCTGTGACTGAACTATAAATGTGAGAAAGAAAAGAGAATTCTGGAAATACGTACATATGTATGCAATTGTGTATGTAATGCGTGAATAATAAAACCTTGTTTGAAACAAAGCGATGCATCATGAAACTCAAGTGGTTGAAATATAACTGTTTGCTAGTATCTCATGATGATTAATATTCAGAACATACATACATATGTACATATGTAGAAGAACCACCTGATATGCCGCCTGTTTTATTGTTTACCAAATACCGAATATAAACAGAAACAACGCAATAAAAAGCCGGCAAAGTGTGCAAAGAGAGCGAGAGAATTCCATTAGAGTGGACCTGCCACGAAAAGATTTTGCTACACAAGTTTAACACAGAAAAAAAATGTTAATAATTTTACATGGAATGTTCGAGAATCGAAAATTGAAGCGATCCCACCTGTCACTAAACAAATTCATGCATGCTTCTTTTTTAGCTTTCTTACACCTCCTGTAAGCGGAAGAAATACATTCACACAGATATACGTATGTATGTATGCATACGCGTGTAAGCTTTGAACGATAATTTAAGGTCGCGGAAATATTTCCGTTTTGAAAGCAATTTCTAAATACATATGTATGTATGAATGTACGTATGTCTGTTTTCGTGTGATATTCCAAGTGGCTACGTTGATAACTGAAAACAAAGAAAACACTCAGTGTATCAATTGCATTGGCGGTCGCCGCTGATACTTGAAGATCGGCCAGCTGAGTGCAAATGAGTTCAACTAAAAGGCTATAAATATGCACTCAAATCGTTCGTAGGCACTTTTGAGGGGGTGGAAGGGACGGAACGCAACATTCGTCGACAAGGTGCATTCATTTAAGGTGAGAGCTTGTAGTTGTTTGCCTCTAACTTTTTAGTTCATTTCGTTTGTGTGTGTCTGCTGTGAGAGAGTGGGAAACCAAACACAAATTGATGCCTCACCTTTTGTGAACACACCTTCTGCATATGTATACGTTCAAACATGTGTGTATTAATATGAATACAAATACCACCTGAGAGAGCGTTGATTCCAAATGCTGGAAAGTTCTCGACAAAATGAAGCAAATGCAACACCTGAGAGAGGCCATGTTGTGTGGGTTTCTGGAAAGTTCTCAATCAAAAATACAATAATTTCAGTATTGTGGTTTCTCTTTATTGTGTATGTAATATCTAAATCAAACTTCATAATGTGAAACTCGCTATAGCTTATTATCTAGAAATTGTAAGTCTGAATTAAGTTTAGGAAATAGTTAAGCTAAGAGTAATATTTTTTTTGTTTGTGAAACTATAAGCAAATAAAAATATTATAGTGTTCACAAAAATGTTTCTTCCGTTTCTCTGCCTGCTTCATGGAAATGCAAAGCGTGTACTTCCAATGGCTGCTGCAGTCCTCTGCTCCTCACTCTCTCTCTCCTCCCACAAACGCAACTGCGACAGCCCGCTGCGCTGCTTTGATTTTTCAATTTCTTCTTGTTGCCTTTTCTTCTCGTTTGCCTTTTAGTAACTTAAATTCGATTATTTCTTCGTTTTCAACTCTCTTCAACTCCTTTCCTTTCTTTGATTCCGCGTTAGCGGCAGCCCTGCATCAGTTTTTGCAAGCCTTCTTAATGTTGTTGGTGTTGGTGTTCATGAGCTTGGTTAGGATTTTCCTTGAGTGACCGGAGGGGTCAAAGTGGTTGGTGTGCACGGAGGCCTCCTTCTTGGAGCGTTGCTTGCCGCCGTGGCCAGAAAAGATATGCTTGTCATAGTCGAAGTTGTAGTGCTCGTACTCATCAAAATGCGATTCGGACATGGTTGCTTGCGTTTTTAAATTTGACTAAAACGAACTGCAATATAATGCGTTTCCTTGGTTTTTTTTCTTTCTCTGCTGTGGCCTTTTGGCTGCAACTTTGGACGAACTTTTCACTGTAATACTTTTCCCTCCTCGCTGCAAAGAAACTTATTAAAATTTTCACTGCTATGTCGGACCTTTATATACACCAAGCTTGTGGTGTCAGGGAGCGCAGAGAGAGAAACATTAAAAGCTCTGACGTGGGGCTGCCAGAGTGCTGCGGCAACTGTGTTTTGTGGGCTCAAAATAAGGCTTATAATTTTTTAAACAGATTTGTTTTGTTTCAAAAAGTAGTATATATTTAAGATTTCTTAAGATACTTGTTGTTTTTGGTGATACAAGGAATATGTTAGATTTTCCAAGTCTTCTTAATAATTACCAACTGTATGGCAGCACCATGCCCGGTATAGTTCTCTCTTTTGCTCTCTCTCCCAAAGATTTTTGCTGCGCAATTTAATTTTTGTTGTTATAAGTATGTATTTACAAAGTGCGCGGTAAACAAAAAAACACAGCGCCAAACATATTTTCTTTGCATTGTCCATTTATTTAAATGTTTTCAGAATATTCTTATAATACACACGTTTTCAAACAACTGGTGGGGCAGGCGGTTGTTATATAAATTTTACGCTTGCCACCCACCTTGGCCCGCCCTCGCATGACCCAGAGGGTGCATTTCAAATTGCATCATCGAAAATTTTCCGTTACATTTCAAATACTATTTTTGACTTTTGATAGGAAAACGTGATCGTACGCAGATATCTAAATATGTGTGTGCATGTACAAGTGGGCTTGTCAGAAAGAAACGATACGCTGACCCAGTTCTCTTCAATCCATTTTTGTTTATTTTTTAAATAAAGCTTTTAATTCGTTTTGGTCTAATTGTTTTTGTATGAACAACACTTGTTACGTACAGCGGACCTCCTTCGGTCTCCTTCGGTCTGATAAGATTGTACACATTGTCAACTATTGCTCTGGTTATGGTTCATTAGTCACTTGCCGGAAAGTTCCACCTGCTTCGAGAGAAACGACGCAATACAACGGAATCGTTATCACATTCTTCGATAAGAAAGCATTCTCCTTACATTGTAATTGACTCTACAGCCTTCCACAATATATTATCAATCGTTTTAACGACTTTTCAAACTGAGGGACTATCCTATTTAACATTTTCCTTGGGGAGCAGCATTTTAAGGCGCTTCTCGATTGACGGAGTTCCTTCAACTGTCTGCTTGCGCGAACCTTTGGGTTCTCTTTGCTTCTTTCTGACCGGCGGCAGAGTGTCTTCGATCATGGGAAGGTCGAAATCATCTGGCATTTTGTTCTCGAACGAGCTATCCACCGATTCAGAGAGCTCCAGTTGTACAGCCTTCTCGGTGTGCACACGCTGCACATGCTCCTTCATTTTGTCGGAACGATGACTACTAAAGCTACATAGCTGGCATTTGTAGCGACTGGGCCCGTTCTCCGTGTGCTTGAGAGCGTGCCGTTTGAGGTTCTTGCTCTGGCTAAAGTTGCAGCCACATATTTCGCATATAAAGTCCCGTCCCTGCTTGTGCGTCTCGATGTGCAGCTTCATGTTCTCCTTGCGATTGCTTACATGGTTGCACCCCGAAACGGTGCAGGCGAAGAATTCGCCCGTGTGGAGCAATTTGTGAGACTTGAGAGCCTTCATGTGGGTGGTGCTATAGCCGCACACATCGCAGAGCATTTGCTTCTCTGGATTGTGGACGAGAATGTGATTGCTGAGGCCCTGCTTCCACTTGAAGCCCTTGCCACAGTGCGGACAGATGTGAGGCGTTTCTGTAGAGTGCTTCGGCTGGTGCACCAGCAGAGCAGCTCTGGTGGTGAAGTGAATGCCGCACTGCAGGCAAAAGAAGGGCTTGCGCGGATTTCCAGAGTGGCGGCGCAGATGCCTGTCATACTCCCGCCAGTCCAGAAAGCCAACCTCGCACAGGGAACACGTTAGATGCGAGGGCTCACAGCTGCTCATGTGCTCAATCATCTTCTGCACTTGGTAGCATTTGAAGTCGCAGCCAATGCAGTAGTTGACTTTGCTGCTGGATTTTACGGCACGGGGATTCTTCAGCTGCAAAAGCAAAGAAGTTGAATGAATAAAAGACAATAAACAAGCTTCGTGGCATACCTTGAAGATGCTCTGCTGATTTTCAAATAGATCTTCGGGTTTCTTTGTTGGCTCCAGGTTCCCCTCAGCATCTCCGGGTGTCGTGGCCTCGCATGTTTCTCTAGCCTCGTCCGCTGGCTGCATCTGGTACAAGTTCAAGAGCTCTGTCACTGCCAATATTTTAGCCAGCTCCCGGAAATGCTGTTCATGATCCTTCGAAACGGACACAATGTCTTCGTAGAAAAAGTCCACAATTGTGTGCAAGCATTGTGTGCAAGCGAAATTGCGGATGGTTATCTTCAGAGGATTGTGTATGGAGAACTGTTGCTGCTTCTGGTTGGTGGCAATGAGCTGACTCTGAGCGGCCAGGACACAGAAGTGCACGCTCAGGCTCAACGCATCGTCCGCAGAATCCAATTCCAGCAGCAAATCACAGAACTCTCCAGTGCGCCGCTGATTGTTTAGGTAATTGGATACTTTCGAGTGGAGCGGCTGGTGTAGAGTGGGCTGAGATTGAGCAGCTGGTGCCAGTAGCATTTTCTCATTCAACTAAGCTGTTTCAGCAATAATTAAATAGTTTATAAAATTGTTTGTTTTGTTTGGATCGCAACAGCTGTTCAGTAAGTGTGACCATGAGATCAAAGATAAAAAAGTCTGACAGCGAATATACTAAAAAATACTGACGCCTGTGATGTGACCGTTAAATTAAGCGGGTTTTCTTTTGGTTTTATAAATACAAATGAAATACCTCTCGCGGATCGTGTTTATTTATGTGCGGTGTTTATCTCACAAATAGTGCAACGTCTACATTGTCTTGGTTGCCAGCCTAACAAACAAATTCTACACTGTTAATTAAAAGCGGAGACGAATAAATAAGTGGAAACATTCTTGGGAATTTCGTTTCGGCATTGTCGGGAGTTTTATCTGATTCAATTGTTGTTCCATTTACGCAAACAATAAAGATAATAATCTCATTGCGATTTGAACGCAAATTGTATGCAGATTCTATATTGATCATTGGATTACACTGTGTTCTTATTGTATGGAAAGTATATAAGGTTTAATTAGTGGAAATCCCAACATAAACATACTCGTTGAGGAAGTCTATTTACGCTTCTCACTAAGCTTTCGTGTTGGATTCCAATTGTTTGTTTAACGGACGGACGAGTTGCTTACACATGTACTTATAGGGGCACCGGCACTCAACCAGAGAGAGAGAGAGAGAGAGAGTGGGAAGAGGGGCTGCTGATGATGATGATGATTGCTGATTCCGATCATAACGCCTGAGGCTCGTGTGGCGAGCGGTTGATCTCCCATCGCGTCAGATTTTCCACTGATTAACGGTGGACGCAATAAGAACAAATCAGCATTAATTCAATCAAAGATTAAGACTGACAGGGATCGTCTCAGCTGTGCAGAGAAGATGTTCCTGAAAACGTTTGTGTTCATCCTGGCCCTGGCCCTGACACAGTTTGGCCCTGCCGCCGCCGTGCCACAGGTGCAGACAATTGGAGCGTCACGTCGAGATGAAGATGGCCACAGACTGAAGCTGTGGCTGACAATCAATGCGCGGAAGCGTTTTCTGGAGATCTCCTGGAAGAATGCCCCAGCCCAAATGGGTGACAATGTTCTGCTGACACTCCAGGATCCACACAGCTTCGAGCGGCGTACACTGCCAACGGGCACGCCTTTGGCTTCATTCGCGTGTGATGAAGGCAGTGGCTCTGGTGATGGTGCGGCCGACTATGTGCCCGTGCAGGGATACACAAGGAAGCCGCGCATTGAGCTGGCCACGAAGGAGTCGCCTGCGTTGCGCCAGTATTGGGTGGCCAACGGGGGTAGCGCCCAAGTAGTGGCCGCCATACAGCCAAGCCTCACCACCCAGTGGTTCACCACGGGAGTGCCCTTCGACTATGCGCTGTCGCGGAATGTAACCACTCAGACCTCCTGCTACGGCTACTGGGCCAGCTACATAAATGCGGAGGGACGCATTCTGGCCAAGAACTGTGTGCGGGCCTATCCCCGCTGGATGAACGAGTTGCGTTCGGTTGTGGGAGAGCTGCGGCTGCGCGATCTCTTCATACCGGGCACCCATGACTCCGGCTCGTATCGCCCCAACTTTGATCCACTGCTGCGAGAGAGTCTGGTGACCAAATATGCCCTCACCCAGGATGACGACATAATGGGACAACTGATGCATGGCGTGCGATATCTGGACATACGCGTGGGCTACTATCGAGCATCACAGGAGAAGTTTTTCATCTACCATGGCATCACGAAGCAGCGACCGCTGCAGGAAGTCATCAATCAGGTGAAGGATTTTGTCCATGAAACCAATGAGATTGTCATTTTTGGACTCAAGGAGTTTCCAGTGGGTAATGTGGCAACAGATTCTCCGCCTAATCGCATACACCTCCTCATGATGCTTTTGTTCTGCTTTCAGGCTTTGGCAAGAACTTGGGCGTCCATCGACTGCTGGTCAGCTATCTGCGGGAACAGTTCCAGGATCTGATTGCACATCCCTCACTGGGATGGCGTGCCTCACTGCGCGACATTTGGTCGAGGCAACAGAATGTGATCCTGGCCTACGACAAGCATGCCATTGTGGAGGAGAATCCACAGCTGCTGTTCGGCGCCGTGGAGCAGCGTTGGGGCAATGTGCAGACCTGGCCGCGACTCGAGACATTTTTGCGCAACATCAACGACTTTGATGTGTCGTAAGTGTATCAACAAATTGATAATTATGCTAGTAGTTTATTTATGGATTGCGTTCCTCTCTCTTGTGCAGACGCTTCTCGAGTCGCCCGGTGGCTGACATGGCCGAGCTGACGCCGGAAACCTGGGATGTTATACTCGATAAGCACGGCGGACTCCGCAAAATGGCCGACACAATCAATTGGCGCATATCGCAGCTGTATCGAGATGAGCTGGGAGAACATTCCAATATTGTGGCAGCAGATTTCATACGCGGCACCACCATAGTAGAGACTGCCATCGAATGGAATCGTCGCAAGGTTGCCTATTAATTAAGGAGACTTTTAGCTTTTAAAAACAGCAACAGCAACATTTATCAGCAAAAAAAACGTTTACAAATTTATGTTTTGTTTGTTCCCTAAACATGTCACAATACCTAGCTTGTTCCCATATCAAAAGCAGGCAACACTTCCTGATGAATATTCGGAAAAAAGGAATGTGGCATCAGGAAATGAGAAATTATAAAATGCATTTTACTGGGGACAGGCTTTGGGGGTCACGCGAAATTGCTCAAATAAATATACGCACTATGGGGAAACTAAATGTGTGTTTGTGTGTAAAAAACTAAAAGTATAAACGATATCGATTTCGTTGTGAGGAATGGAATGCCAATTTCTAAGCACAAATATACACATGGTGGTGGGCATGTTGGAATTACTAACACGGTGACGTTCTCCGCTGTGCGAGGACAAGCGCTAGAAAGGGATAGAGATAGATTAGTAGTCACCCTGTGGTGGAGATTTCACCTTAGTAATTTCACCATGGTGGCGGGGTTGAGGTCTTCGCTAATCGCATTTTGAATGCATACCGTACGGCATTGCAGAATTTGTTTAGCTACTCTGAATATCATTGAAGGGCTTTTCTTTTTTAAACTAAATGCTAATCGATACGTGAGTTCTTTTTCTTTTTCTTTGTTTTTGTGGGTAAATTGGTCCTAGTTTATGGCCTCATTTGACTCTATAATGGTTGTGTTGAACATGCCGCGACATAGCTCCACGAGAGCACTGGACAAGCGGCCATAGCACTTGGGCTTCTTCTTGCAGGCAATAAATACATAGTAAAACGGAATGCCAGCTAGAGTGATGGCAATGCCAATGAGCAGATTCGCAGGCTCCGCGAAGTTGGGCAGCAGCACCAGTGTTACACAGCAGACCATAAAGGTGATGGGCAACGCTAGATGTACTTTAATAGGTCGTGGTAAATCCGGCCTGAAATACACAAACAAATTGAGCAAAAGAAGTATTGAAGTGGGTTGTAGGGAATACAAACTTCTTGTGTCGCAGCCACAACATGCCTGCTATGCTGGCGACTACAGATAGCCAGAGCACAGAGCTGAAATAGTTGATCAACTGATAGACATTATCCGTCAGCAGCATAAGCAGCGACATCAGGCACTAAGCAGAGAGTAAAACAATGTTTAAGTTAGCAAATATATTAAAAGAATTGTAATACCAACTTACTGTAAAGATTAACGATGGAATTGGTGTCTGTTGCTTCACATGAAATAGTTGAAAGAACTTTGGTAAATGTCCCTCCTGTGCGCCAGTGGCAAAAAGTCTTGCCGATGTGAAGAGAACGCCATTGACACCGCCAAAGGTGCTGAGCGCCACAAAGATGGGCACCATAAAGGCCAGTGGTCCAAAGACCTTGTTGCCAAAGGTCACAGCCACGGCCAAGGAGCTGAGCATTTCGGGTTTGTTAACCACAACGAAATAGGCCAAATTCACTAGAACATAGATGGCCGTCACCAGGGGCATGGCTATCCAAATGGCTCGTGGAAGATTTCTGAAACATGAGGAACGTGCCTTTTAGAGCAGGAAAAAGCTACGCGCAGCACTTCAATTGATTACGAGTGTTTTGAAGCGTAAATTGAATTCATTAGGGAGAAAACCAGCAGCATCCCTCCCCATTCATGACATCAAGGACACTCAACAAGTTTCAACTTGTTGCTGGCTTGCGCATGACGCAAAAGGCAGTCTCCTCTCTCTCCCACCCAACTCGCAACCATTTGTCTTGCTGACAGGCTGCCAACCCCACTCACTTGTATGGATCCTGCAGCTCCTCTGTTACAAAGTTCAAGTAATTCCAACCGCCAAAGGCAAATAAACCAGAATAGAAAGCGTAGCCAATATTCCGAGCACTGTAAGTGCCCTCCCAAGGATTGTCAAAGTTCTCCAGCTTGCCCATGGCCATGTAGTAGAGTCCGGCGAGTATAATCATGATGAGAGCCAGCAGCTTGCCCACTGTAAAGACATCCTGGACTTTCATTGAGACCTTCACAGACAGACAGTTGATGGCAGTGAGCAAAGCTATAAAGGGGGAGAATAACTTTAATTTTGTGCTTTCAATAGTGCTTAAGATTCTTTACTTACTCAGGCACACAGCTGCCAACAACTTGACTGAATTTTGTGGCGGATCACAGTCCTCGAAGAAGGGTTTGGCGGCATAATGGGCAAAGGTTAGGGCTACAATGGTCTGTAAAGTAAAGTTGGATTAATATTAGAACACATCTTTAATCCAGCTTCCCAATTTCGTTTCGTTGGAGAAAGTTGTTCAAGTAATTGAATTCAATTGTGGTCGAATGTTGCCGGTTGCCGCCACTTAATAAATTTATATATATTTGTTGTGCATCAACAACCAATTCAAATGCCAATCCATCAATCAAGAGAAATAGTGAACATTTCATAATTCAATTGATTGGATTGGCTCCCCCTTCCGGGGGAGAGCACTCACTGACCTGCGTTGTTGGCCGGATGATCAGCAAAGCTATCCACAGGCGTAGGAACCCCACCAAAGGACCAAAGGATACCAGCAAATAGGCATAATCGCCACCAGATCTTGTAATACTTGTGCCCAGCTCTGCATAACAGAGTGCGCCAATGGTCGATAATATTCCACAGGCGGACCAAATCAATAGGGAACTGCCAACAGATCTGATAAGAGAAGAAATAAAAGATTAGGATTAACAATTCGCAGATGGAAATATACAAGCAACAGACTAAGGTAATTTCTATGAGATCGATCTATCATTGAATGTTCTTTCGCTTTCAACAATCCCTATCAATTGCTCATAAACTAAAAGTTCGTTTAAAATAGAAAATTGTTCAACAAATTCTAAACAAATATTGTTTGATCTTGATAATGTCCAAGGAGCAAGACCTCGCTGGTCGCCGCAACCAAGAAGAGTTGATTGGCAGCTTCTTTCCTGCGGTGCCCGAAGTGGATTTTCTGCGTCACAGTGAAGAGAACTTTCGCCAGGATCGGTACAAGGCCGAGTTATGTGATGCTTTGAATACCCATGGCACGGGCATGGCCATGACCATGCATATGGATCGCATGATTGCTAGCCGTGTGGGTCAGCCATCCCACATGTCGCCCAGCCACTTAATGGACGACATTCTGACTGGCCGCATTCACACCATCGACTTCGAGGACTACCTGAATCTGCCCCATCACAACGAACAAATGCGTAATCCACATTTTGAAATGGACAAGAATGCACACAAATAACAACTTTAGTAACAAGAATTACCCCAGAATTTATTCAGCCCAAGGTTACCCACGCACACAACCCCATGTAATTCCAACAGAGTTTATGTTTATGTCAGCATATTATAGATACATTTGAGCCAGCAAGTAATAAAATATATGTAGGTGCAAGAAACCCTCAGCTTAGATATGTTTACATTCGTGTATGTAAATATGTATGAATTTATGTACTGCAATGGAATCATGAACGTATGGGTTTGTTCAAAAAAAAGGAACAAGGAATTATGCAATTTACATATTTAAATAATTTATTTTAGTCCCTAATGGTGACTGATATGAAACTATTAAAACTGTTTCATATAAAACTATAAGCTGGCTGCTTTAAACCTTTCGAACTTGACTGCTATAAAATTACCAAAGCAACTATAAGCTTATTTTTGACTCTTATAAACCAAATATTAGATATTTTCCAGAAAGACGCAGCCAAGAAAATAGCTGATTTAGTGTGTAAACTCTAATGGCTGGATTAAAACTGATTATCTTGAATAATGCCTAATAAAAACACTCTCTTAAGCGGAAATAAACTAATTGGACACATTTAGCAGGTGTAAAAAAAGCTGATAAAACTATTATCTAGTCAGTAAGTAGAAACACAAAGATAATATTATTAGTACATTTTGATTACAAAGAATTTGTTTATGGTTTTGCCAGGCAACTTGTGTCTCAATAATTGTGGGCATGGGAGCGACTGTTGCTGTTTGGCATTCTTGTAATTGGAGAGAAATTTACTTTAAAGCTGACGCAATATTTTGACAAAATTTCTACTACAACGAAGGCAGTCAGGGCGGACTTTAACAATTAACTCAAGGGAAAATCGGGTACTAATAAATTCCATTTAATTGGTGTCAAAAGGAATAATTGTGACAATTTATCCGTTAATTGACCTTTTTGTGAATAAATTGAATTAAGGATGATACTATATGCATAATGAGATACAACATATTCAAATATGCAGATTATTTCCATTCCAGATTACTCACTCTGTATAGAGAAAGACCCCAGTGGGTGCGATGAATATGCCAGATCCTATAATGGTGCCCACAATAATTGCTACTCCATTGAGCAGAGTTAGTTTGCGTTTCAATACGATTTTTCCATCCGATTCGGGTGTTTCCTTGTCCACCAGGCTGGTGGTCACTCCATTTGCATATCGTTCAGTCATTATTACGGATTATTACGGATGAGGGAGGATTGGCTTTAATGCGCGATAGTTGGCATTGCCACTGGAAAGGAATGGAAAAAGCGGAAGTTAATCGAATATAAAAGATGCAAATCTATTTAGATGGCATCTATTTTTATCAAGGGGAGGAAGCACGTGTTGTGTGAAAGCGAAACCTAACAAATTGTAAACAATCTACGAGTATTGCACAGACACTACAACCTGTTGGTCATTGCTCCCCCACCGTCAATCACAGCCACACACATATGTAGAACCTCCGCCGATCTCTGCTGTGTTGGCAACCGCCAAACTAATCACTACATTGTCTAGGCACATCCATTATCTCTTAACAGACACAACTATAATTTAAAGTTGAAAGGCGTATGTCGACACTCTATGGTGCGTGGTGTGGAGTTATTTTCTAGGTGGCGTAGCCACCGTCACCTCACACCTCGTGCTAATTTTCACGATTTCGTCACTCAACTTCCACGGCAATGCAATACAAACAAACGTTCCACCGTAAACACAGTCGCGTGGCAGTGAAATATTATTGCAATATTTCCATGCACTTGTGCACTTTTTTCTTATATTTTTGTGCGTCAACGCTTGGAATGCAGTTTAGTTGATTATTTAGTTTTATCTCTCGCGGGACTCTACCATAAAATTCCATTTTATACCTCAAGAAAAGTAAACACTGCGCGGCTGCGGTTGGGACGCACACAACAAATTGGCTCCAAATGCGGGTTGAGACTGTGCGTTCGTTGGCATCGAGACCGGCATTTTCATATTAATGTTGACGCATTTCCACACAGTGTAAATTACAGTATATAGCGAATCCGGAGAACGAGTGTGCGCGGAGCGTCATTTGAGAGAACAGCAATTATTGGCAGCCGAAAACAGAGCAGAGAGCGCTCAAAACCGGAATACGCTAAATGTTTACACTTTCTTCAGTCAGCTGGTATCAGTCAGATATTTCAATACAATCACAAATGCAATATATTTGCCAAAATCATAAGCTAATAGGTTTAATTTTTCTTATTTTTTATTAACTAAAAACAAACTAGAAAATTGCGAAAAGTGTGACCGCGAAATTATCGATAAAATTTAACCGATAACCTAGTCTTGCATTTTCAAAATATACTGTAAATATAACGTAATCTAAAATCATTTTCCTCGATTTTGACGTTCTTTTTGATATTACTAGCTAGTTAGGTGTCTCCGCTTTCAAACTATACTTTTATACGATTTATCAATAAATTCTCCACAGCATTGGCTATTTTTCACGACTATCTTTTCTTTGAATGTTTCCAATTAAGTTTAAAACTAAAAAGGTACACAAACAAAAAAAGCATAAAACGTTACGTGAGTGGGAACGGACTGCAACGTCTTTTGACAATTTGTTGATTGTCAACCGGTATGGTAAAGGCATTTGTGTACCCTATTTATATAAAAATGGATCAAAATTCTCGAATGCTTTTAGAGCCCTTCTGGAGTGTACCAATATAAATAAATTGAAGCATTAAAACTTTCCTAGTTGATTCCCTCCCTCTCATCACCAATTTCGTTAATAATAAAAAATTAAACATAATTGAGATTTGTTTATTCTTGCATTTAATCGTTATTTGTATAAGCCGCACATCAGTTATAAATGATTTTGTTCTATAAATTTAGTTGTATAACCAGATGGCCGGCTAAATGATCGATTGTTTTCGATATTGTGAGCACTTAATAAGTGTTCTTTGAGCCTGCATAATTGCGTATACGTCGCTCTGCATAAGAAGCAGTGGTAGGGTCGTGCGTTCGCGTGCGAACGGAGGTGATAGCGGAGATTTGCGTATTGAGGAAATGTCTTCGAGCAGTGAGGACACATAAACACACTGACGTTGGGATAGCCGTCGGAAATCGTATATGGTCGCTCCTTCGCATGTGTTTGAATGTGCATCTCGAGGACCTCTTGCTCTTTAAATGATTTCGCGCACTGAGGACATTGAAATGGTTCATCATCTATGTGCGTAAAAGTGTGTTCCCGAAGGTGGGACTTTTTAGGAAAGGACTTGCAGCAGAGCTCACACTTATACGGTAGCTCTGTAGTGTGTTTCTTTTGCGACTTGATAGATATTTCATGTTCAAATGACTTCGAGCACTCAGTCTGAGTGAGGAGGTGTACATCGAGATCCGCTTTCTCTTGAAATGACTCCGAGCAGTGAGAACATATATATGGTCGACAATCTGGATGTTTTAATTGTATGTGCTTTGTAAGAGATGTCATGTGCCTAAATGATCTCGGGCAGTGAGCACACTTGTACGGTCGCTCCCCAGTATGAGTAAGGATTTGATGCTCTTTCGGTTCAACAGATATTTCCTCTTTAAATGACTTCGAGCAGTCAGTGAGGTGTTCATCGAGATCCGCTTTCTCTTGAAATGACTCCGAGCAGTGAGAACATATATATGGTCGACAATCTGGATGTTTTAATTGTATGTGCTTTGTAAGAGATGTCATGTGCCTAAATGATCTCGGGCAGTGAGCACACTTGTACGGTCGCTCCCCAGTATGAGTAAGGATTTGATGCTCTTTCGGTTCAACAGATATTTCCTCTTTAAATGACTTCGAGCAGTCAGTGAGGTGTTCATCGAGATCCGCTTTCTCTTGAAATGACTCCGAGCAGTGAGAACATATATATGGTCGACAATCTGGATGTTTTAATTGTATGTGCTTTGTAAGAGATGTCATGTGCCTAAATGATCTCGGGCAGTGAGCACACTTGTACGGTCGCTCCCCAGTATGAGTAAGGATTTGATGCTCTTTCGGTTCAACAGATATTTCCTCTTTAAATGACTTCGAGCAGTCAGTGAGGTGTTCATCGAGATCCGCTTTCTCTTGAAATGACTCCGAGCAGTGAGAACATATATATGGTCGACAATCTGGATGTTTTAATTGTATGTGCTTTGTAAGAGATGTCATGTGCCTAAATGATCTCGGGCAGTGAGCACACTTGTACGGTCGCTCCCCAGTATGAGTAAGGATTTGATGCTCTTTCGGTTCAACAGATATTTCCTCTTTAAATGACTTCGAGCAGTCAGTGAGGTGTTCATCGAGATCCGCTTTCTCTTGAAATGACTCCGAGCAGTGAGAACATATATATGGTCGACAATCTGGATGTTTTAATTGTATGTGCTTTGTAAGAGATGTCATGTGCCTAAATGATCTCGGGCAGTGAGCACACTTGTACGGTCGCTCCCCAGTATGAGTAAGGATTTGATGCTCTTTCGGTTCAACAGATATTTCCTCTTTAAATGACTTCGAGCAGTCAGTGAGGTGTTCATCGAGATCCGCTTTCTCTTGAAATGACTCCGAGCAGTGAGAACATATATATGGTCGACAATCTGGATGTTTTAATTGTATGTGCTTTGTAAGAGATGTCATGTGCCTAAATGATCTCGGGCAGTGAGCACACTTGTACGGTCGCTCCCCAGTATGAGTAAGGATTTGATGCTCTTTCGGTTCAACAGATATTTCCTCTTTAAATGACTTCGAGCAGTCAGTGAGGTGTTCATCGAGATCCGCTTTCTCTTGAAATGACTCCGAGCAGTGAGAACTTATATGTGGTCGACAATCTGGATGTTTTAATTGTATGTGCTTTGTAAGAGATGTCATGTGCCTAAATGATCTCGGGCAGTGAGCACACTTGTACGGTCGCTCCCCAGTATGAGTAAGGATTTGATGCTCTTTCGGTTCAACAGATATTTCCTCTTTAAATGACTTCGAGCAGTCAGTGAGGTGTTCATCGAGATCCGCTTTCTCTTGAAATGACTCCGAGCAGTGAGAACATATATATGGTCGACAATCTGGATGTTTTAATTGTATGTGCTTTGTAAGAGATGTCATGTGCCTAAATGATCTCGGGCAGTGAGCACACTTGTACGGTCGCTCCCCAGTATGAGTAAGGATTTGATGCTCTTTCGGTTCAACAGATATTTCCTCTTTAAATGACTTCGAGCAGTCAGTGAGGTGTTCATCGAGATCCGCTTTCTCTTGAAATGACTCCGAGCAGTGAGAACTTATATGTGGTCGACAATCTGGATGTTTTAATTGTATGTGCTTTGTAAGAGATGTCATGTGCCTAAATGATCTCGGGCAGTGAGCACACTTGTACGGTCGCTCCCCAGTATGAGTAAGGATTTGATGCTCTTTCGGTTCAACAGATATTTCCTCTTTAAATGACTTCGAGCAGTCAGTGAGGTGTTCATCGAGATCCGCTTTCTCTTGAAATGACTTCGAGCAGTGAGAACTTATATGTGGTCGATAATCTGGATGTGTTTTTAAGTGCTTTGTTAGAGATGTCTTTCGCTTAAATGATCTAGGGCAGTGATCACACTTGTAAGATTGCTTAAGGATATGATCTTTGGTCTTTTGCGACTGACTGGAGGTGTGATTTTTAACAGATCTTTCAGGTTCAAATGTCTTTGAGCAGTCAGTCTGAGTGGTGAGGTGTCTGTCGAGATCCGCTGTCTCTTTGAATGACTCCGAGCCGTGAGAACATATATGTTCTCGATAATCTGGATGTTTTTTTAAGTGCCTTGTTAGAGATATCTTTTGCCTAAATGATATCGGGCAATGATCACACTTGTACGGTCGCTCCTCAGTGTGAGTAAGAAGGTGTTTCCTTAGTGCTTGTTTTTCTACAAAGGCCTTTGAGCATTGAGAGCATTGAAATTTTCGTACACCCGTGTGAGTTCGGGTGTGTGCTGCAAGGGAGCATCTTCTTTTAAATGGCTTTGAGCAGCGGGAGCATTGAAAGGGTCGCTCATCGGAATGCATTATCATGTGAGTTTGGAGACCTACGCTTCCAGCGAAGGACTTGGGGCATTGAGAACACTTAAACGGCCTCTCCTTAGTGTGAGTATGGCTGTGAATTCTTAGAGGACCTTTTGATGTAAAGGTTTTTGGACAGAGGGAACATTTGAATGGTCGTTCTCCCGTGTGCGTACGAATGTGAATCTTCAGATTATTAGGTATAAAATAGGACTTTGGACATTCGGGACACTTATGTGGTCGCTCCTTCGTGTGAGTGGGTAGGTGTCTCTCGAGAAACGCTTTCTCTTGAAATGATCTTTGGCAGTAAGAACATTTATATGGTCGATGTCCTGTGTGACTTTGTATGTGATTTGTAAGACATTTCTCACTGATATATGCTTTCGGGCAGTGAGTACACTTGTACGGTCGCTCCCCAGCGTGAGAACGGAGGTGTACGTCTAGTTTTTCTTTTTCAGTAAATGCCTTTGAGCATCGAGGGCATTTATGTGGTTTTTTAGACGCGCGTCGTTTACTGGTTTGTACTTGTAGATGAAATGACTTGGAGTATGGATGATCAATTAGGTGCGTACTAAGCTTATCCTTATCACTTTGATCCTTTGCATCGGTTTCCAACTGGTTTAGTTGCTCACTTTCAATACCCGACGGCTCGTCACAATCGTCTTTTGCATTATCACAGATTTCTTCTTCTTCTATTTCCTCCTCCAGCCGCGTGAAATATAGTTTATGGCTCTGCTCGCAGGTTCTCTTGAGGTAGAATGCACTCACTGCATCCTCGAGGCAGGGTGGACATATCTTTTCTGAGAGTGCATCCCCTCGCCAAACCACGTATCCTGTGCACTCCGTAATCATTTCAGCAATGGATTGGAGTCTTATTGGAGTCTCATCAAAAATGTTTGTTAATGCTCCAGAAGTTCCCATGCAAACTCTGCATATTTCCTCCATTGTTCTGGAAGTAAATGAATATTAATGAATGTGATAACATGTGCAAGAAGTAAATCAAACCCACAGACAGCTAATTTATGTAGTTTTTCTAAGCAGTAAATATAGTAAACAAATGAAAATCACTTAAATGAAGAAATGAAGAAAGTGCTGTTAAGCGCAAAACACATTAGCGATATTATCGATAAAACATACCAATACAACGTATTTGTCGGTATATTTCTGTGGTTGAGGTCACACCGCCTTTTAGTTATTGTTTTGATTGCAGCTGCACGTGTTTTTTAGGAATTGCACATTAAATTACAAAATACAGAGATGTCGGACAAGTAAGAGCAATGAAAACTATATTTATTAGCTTATGTAACACAACATCATATAATTACACAAAATAGATACGCCGTGCCCAACAAATTACCTGGAAAAACCGTCTCCGTGTTAAAGCATCGGAAGCGACGTATTCTGCAAGATCAGTCGGTCATTGAACAGAAGAAAAATGATCGCATTAAGCGCAGAGAGAAAACCAAGACGCACCACAAATTCCGACGTGCCGAATCCTTTGTTATGGGCTACCTGAAGGCCGAAAGAACATCAAACCGAATCAGGCAAACCATTCTGAAGACGAACATCACCGAACAGAGTGCTGCGGCGTCCGACGATTCAAATCCCAAGCTGCTCTTTGTGATGCGCCATGCAGGCAAGAAAATCTTCGACAAGACCACCTCGGAAATATTCAAAACGCTGCGCATGGGCCAACGTCACAATGCCGTATTCCTGGAGAACACCAAGGAGAACCAATTGTTGCTGCGCGTCATCGAACCCTTTGTGGTGTACGGCAATCCATCGTTGAGCACCATACGCGAGTTGCTGTTCAAAAAGGGCTTTGCACGCATCGAGGGCAAGAAGACGGCTATTCAGTCCAACACTATGGTGGAGGAGCATCTCGGCGAGAAGGGTGTCATTTGCCTGGAGGACATAATCCATGAAATCTGCACAGTTGGACCCAATTTTGCTGCAGTCACTCAATTCCTGTGTGCTTTTACTGTAGGTTTCGATGGCTAAATGATTTATATTTGTTTTGTAATTCAATGATTGCCTTTTGCAGATGTCTAGTCCCCGCAATGGCTGGCAGAAAAAGGTCTCAGTGTCATACAAACGCGGAGGGGAGTATGGCTATCGTGGCAATGCCATCAACGATCTGGTTGCACGCTGCCTCTAGATGCCCCAATCTAGTAGACTTTTAAGTGATTAACATTTTCTATGCCTAAGCCCAAATAATACACACAAATTTGTCAATCAATTGAGCAAAATGTCTGCGATCTTCAATGCCAGTCGGGATAGCAAGACGGATATTGAATATCAGACGATCTCCTCGACTGTGAGCTTCCTGCCAGAGGATCAAACGGAGCGTCTGCACAATCTCATATCCAAGGATCAGCTAGATAAGCTGCATCAGGCCTTCAGCGAGCGTCCCGACTCACAGGTCGGCTTCGGTGATCTGCGCAGTCTGCTGCTGGATCATGACATCACCTTCAACGATGCCGTGTACAAACGCCTCTTCCTGAAGATCAACCAGAATAGGGACTTTCGTGTCGATTGGAATGAGTTTGTCTCGTATCTGATCTTTGGCTTCCAGGAGGAGGATCCCAGCAGCCAAAAGGAGTCGCTCATTCTGCCCATTTCGGTGGCGCCCTCGGTGCGAAAGACCGAGCACCGATCCACTGTGTGCTGTGTGGCTCTGCTCAAGGCCAAGTCGGATCAGGTGCCCATCGAGGAGGTCACCGAGACGGTTAACTTCTCCTTTGGCGGCGAAGATTCCCCCGAAGCCTCGGGCATGTGGGTGACGGCCAGTCACGAGGGCATGCTGCGCTTTTGGACCTCCCACATGGAGCCCATTCGCACAGCAACCTCGGAGAGCAGTAAGTCTAAGAGTCGATGGAGTTCTCGCTCCCAGGGTTAATCCCTCTCTTGCCGTTAGTTCACCTGAAGATGCCCACTTGGATACTGGCTGTGCAGGCTCTCTCGGATGTCAGCATCGTGTGCACCTCATCCACAGAGCGGGAGCTGCGCTTTCACGAGACCATCGCCTCGACCTTTACGCTGCGTATGGTGATCCGCAGCATGCCCCACGCTGTCTACTGCATGAGCTATGCCTTCTACAACAATGGCAAGGTGCACTCGAAGCTGGTGCTGGGGGACTATGCGGGCAATGTGAGAATTATCTCATACTCGCCGCATCTGCGCGGTCCGTTCCAGGCCAAGCCGGGCGCTGCCCTCATCGAGGTGGTGTGGACGGACGTGCTGAAGGGCAAGATACCGCAGATGATACCCAAGGAGTACATCAATTTGCACAACGAGATGATCACCTGTGTCCACTATTCGCTGCACATGAACGCCCTGTTCGCCACAGCAGAGTACAGGAACACCAAGAAGTATCGCGGCCGCTGCCCGGGCATGATTATGGTCACATACGATGAGCGTAGCAACTTCCGTGTGCCCTTGGGTGTTTCCACTTTCTTTGTGGCGGAGAGCCACAACATTGTCGTCACAGGCGGACCCGACACGTTCGTCAGGATCTGGGATGTCTATATCCCCACAGAACCCTCGGCCATACTCACCGGTCACAATGGGGGCATTGTCACGGTCTTTGTGCAGCCGGAGGAGAACAAAGTGTACAGCGTGGACTACCAGAAGATCATCAAAGTGTGGGATCTGCAGGAGCACACGTTGCTCCAGACCTATGGCGAGTTGGTGCGTCTCATACATCCCAGCGAAACGGATTTGACTTACTTCTACCACTCGCATCTGCGCGAGCTCATTGTGGCCGGTCGCAAGTTAATCTCCATCAAGTGCTGTCCACGCGTGCGCGTGGATCTCACCGATGGCAACACGCATGCGGCACCCGTCTCCGTGGTGCTGTACAATCATTTATTTCGGAATATCGTCACCTGTGGCCTCGACAGCTACATCATTGTGTGGGATCCATGGACTGGACGGCGCAAGATCATCATGAAGAACTGCCACACGAAGATGATTTACGGCGAGATCATTGACATTGAGATCACAGCCGCCACCTTCGATCCACTCGAGCAGTTCCTGCTAACGGGCGCCCGCGATGGTTCCCTGAAGATTTGGAACTACAATAATTCTGTGGTGGTGCGTAACATGAGCATAATGCCGGATCAGGAGGTGACTTCAGTCATTTGGGTGGTGGATCGGTAGGTCTTGCTCTCTCAGCCTTACTCTCAGTCACTCGGAATCCCTTTGGCAGCATTCTGGCCATGGGCTGGGATCGTCAGGTAACCGAATTCAATGATGTGGAGGGTCGCGAGTATGGGGATCCCAAGAAGTGGTCGAAGTTCCACACGGACGACATCACCTGTGCGGACGTCAAGCTGGGCGAGGGCGTGGTAACTGCCACCTACTCGGGTGAGGTTATATTCTGGAAGCTGGAAACGGGCCAGCCCTATCGCCGTTACAGCGTCATGGATCCCAAACGCTTCATTGAGCTCAAACTGACCGCCGAGGAGGAGAAGTTAATGCGTCGCAGCAAGCGTCTGATGTCTCGCACGAGTCACGGCACCAGTCGCAATAGTCGGGTGACATCCTTCACCACCCCAGCTCTGCCCAAGCCAGAGGACACTCGAGATTATGGCCAGAATGTACCAATTTCCGTACAGGCTGTGCTGTTCCTGCAATCACGTCCACAGACCCTGCATCACGGTGAACTTCATTCACTCAACAAACATAGTCCAAAATGTTGTATTCATTTGCTTACTTTTTCTTCTTTCAGGCAGTGTCTTTATCTCTTTGGACACTGGCTATATACAGATGTATTCGCATCATCAGCGCGGCGGCTACATGGATCAGTTCATGTCTGTCCATAAGACGGGCGATTGTGTTCTTACCATGTGCACAGATCGCAAGAATCGTTATTTGTACACGGGCACAGCTTTTGGGTATATCAAGATCTGGCATATAGTCAACTATTGGTGAGTGTTTGTTGAAGTTAAACTAAGTGAAAGCTGCAAAAGAGTGCCTAAGAAAAGTTAAGAAAACAACCTACTGGAGTTACTCTGATGAGGATCTTTGGACGTGTTTGATTGCTCTCCAATTTCCCAATCTAATTTGAAATTAAGAGTAGATCCTACCCCGATTATTCTTTGTGTTCTCTCTTTGCGAGCACCTACTGTACCTTCCATAAAAACCATTCTCAGGCCATTAAGCAACCACATGAAACTGTCTCTAACAACATTCCTCATTATTCTGCATGTTTATCAGAAGCAAATTCCACCCACAACAAAGTTGACTTGGGCCTGTCCTTGCGTGTTCGAACAAAGTTTGCCCAATTTGTTTCCTTCTGGTAAAAATAATAAATAAGTCATAACTGGCACAGCACGCTCGCGACTCTGCCTCACTTGTTGCCATGATTAGTCCTAGTACAACCCGTGACATCTGTCGTTCCAGCGTGCCCGAAGCGGAGAAGGTGCACGTCTGCATGCCCAAACTCCGACTCGAATTTATCTTCCTGCGTAAGGAGTTCTGGGTGACACGGGCCAAGCGTGTGGTGCGACATCAGCGTGAACCGCTGCTGGTCAGCTCCTACAAGGCGCATCTGAAGGCCATCAATTCCATTTCATTCATAAATCTGCCCAAGATTGTGTTTTCGTAAGTAAAAGAAAGCTGAACCAGACTCCAGACTCAACCTCCATCCATTTGCAGTGGCAGCCACGATTACTCGTGTCGTTTGTGGACACAGGGCGGCCGCTACTTGGGCACTCTGGGCACAGTTTTGCCCTGGTCCAAGCTCACACCCTTTGAGCGTGCTGGGGACGTTAATCAAGTCTATCGCCTGCCGCCGGACATCAAAAAGGTGGCCAGCTCTACGACACTTAAGGTTATCTCTGGCCTCCAAATGGATCGACCCGTCAAGCGTACCGAGGCCAAGGCGCCCGAGGAGCGTGAAGAGCAGACCGCACAGACGGAAGATGGCTACGATCTAAAGAAAATCTTCGAAAAGCCATTGAAGGAACCCATTCTGGGCAAGCACTTCACGCTCCCCGGCAAGAGTGTCATGGATCAGCGCATCGATGTGGACACCACACAGAGCTACATTGCTGTCTACACGCATCTGAAGGTGCACAACACGGAGATGCTCGAACGTTTGCCCACGCCAGCTGTGATAAGTCGCGTGGCGGCGGAGAATTACTTGGAGCATTATGTGCCCGTCGAGGGCAAAGTGAACCTGAGTGGATCGGCGCTGAATATTAAGCAGCCGCCGCGTCGTCCTGCATCGTTGCGACCCAAAGATCCACGGAATATGCGCATGGCCAAGACACGCGGCGACATGGGTCCCGGGCCGAGTCCCAGTCAGCAGAGTCAGTAGTCCGTTGCCTCGGGTATAATTTATGTATATTTTTGGGGTTATTGCTGCTGAATGTTTTGGTGTTTAAATTAAAGTGTTAATTCTGCAATATGCGCACGGCGTTGTACATCTGTGCGATGATGGGCAGCTCCTTGGACTCGCGACCCGCACGACACAGGCACTTGTAGGTGTGCCCCAGCAGCTTGTCCAATGCTGCCACATCAATCTCATCCGGCTTGGTGGCAGCAATCGGTATGCTCTGCTCGGTCAGCGGTTCCTTCTGTGTGGCGTGGATAACATTGTCCGATCAGTTCTGTGGATGATAAACGCTGGCAGCACTTACCAGGTTATCCAAGTAGCCCAGCAGTTGATGCCCCACGGAGGCTATCTTGAGGAAGGTGGACTGAGAGCTCTCGGCATACAGATTCAGCCGCCTGCCGGCGATCTCCAGCAGCAAGCGTCCCAGTTCCTCGTCCTCGCTGATATCCTGCAGCAGTGTCTGTGCCTCCGCATCATAGCCAAAGGCATAAAGTTCCACAATCTGCGGAAGAAAGTGTTGGAAATGGCCGAAGAACAAAGCAGATGCACGCCTCACCTGACGCCTCAATATGGGCAGCTTGTCCAGCTCCCAGCTGTCGGCCAGCGCACAAATCTTGGCCATGTAATAGACATGATCCAGTATGTAGAGCTGTTGGAGATCCTCCCTGATCAGATCCATGGTGACGGCAACAACGCGGCAGAGGAAATCTGTGCGCTGCTGCTGCAACACCAAGTCAGGGCCTGGCAGCACGTACGGCAGCTCCTTGTTGATGTCCGCCAGCAGCGCCTTGTTGCCCATGGCATCGAAGAGCAGCGTCAGCGGCTTGGCCACACGCAGCTGGAAGAAGGCAATGAAGTGCAGCACACTGCAGAGTTCGGTCTGCAGCTGCAGCAGCTTGGGCATGGCATGATGCTGCTGCAGCGCCAAGAACTGCAGCGGGAGTGCTCCCTCGCTGAGGGACTGCTCGAAGTGTAGCTCGCGCTTGTCGTGCTCCAGCGAGCTGGAGAAATGCTGCAGAAACTCCAAGCTTAGCTCGAGAAACTCGGGCACTTTGCCCGCCGACATATCCAGATCCTGCTGGCACATCTTGTCCACCGGCAGGCGTCCTACTTTTTGCATCAATTTGGCTGCCGCTTGCAGAGGAAACTTCAGTGTGGCATTCCACAGCATGCAGCAGATGCCGTGCTTCAGGGCCCAATCGGGCGTACGAAACTCAGCCAGACAGAGCAGCGCTGAACGCATGTGGTCGAGAGATGAGAGCTGTTTGCTCCACTGCACCATATACTGCCAGGACATGAGGCTCAGCAGCACGCCCGACTCCAGGCTGAAGGGAAAATGAGCGCGCAGCAGTGCCAGTCGCTCCAGCACGGGCTCATTGGCAGGCAGCACCTGCACTTCCTTGGCCAACTCCAGCTCTGATTCTTGCTCCTCCTCTGGCGCTGCCTTCTCCTCTTCCTCCTTTACTTTGGCTCTAGTCAACTCGCGACTCTCTTCATTTAGGTCATTTTCGGGCGCTGTTATCTCCACAATCTTGCTGGGATGCAGCTGCGCGCTGACCAACCATTTGGCAGTCAGCTCCGTGACGATGCCTTTACCACCGCTGACGATGCTCTTGAGGCTGCAGTCTGGCGTCTCGTACGGCATTTCCGGCCCCACTGGCTCCCGGCAGGTTAGCGGCTTGCCCAAAATGGCACCCAGCACAGAGACATCCTCCAGTTTGCCCGTGAGCAGGCCCCACTGTGCCTCGTCATGGGAGATGCGTTCCCAGCGTTCCTCCTCCTCGTTCTGCGATGATTCGTCACACGAGCCCTGGAAAATTGAAGCTGTAATCAATGCCTAAAAGCTGCGACAGTTCGTACCTCCTTGCGATTGCGCCAGAGATTTGTGGCCACCGTTTTGCAGACAATTGCCACGAGCAGACCAGAGAACTGTTTGCTCTCCAGCAGCTGCTCGCGCACCTCCTGCCACCAGGGCGATATGGCATTGTATGCATAGTCATGGATATGATCGCCGGCCAGCTCGCAAATGGTTTGCACCATTGCCGCAATGCGTGACATGTCCTCCACGACTTCATCACTACAAAACAAAATGTAAAAGTAAGCATAAATGAGGCCAGAAAAGGTTTTGCTTTGCCCCTTACCAGTTGTTGTACTTGAAAGGCTTCTCCAGCCAAAACCAAATGATAAGCGTCAACAGATCCTTGCTGGGCAGACAGGCCTGGCCAATCCACTGCTTAAACTGGCCAAAGCACAGGCTCTGGCCAAAGAACTGACTGAAGAGATCAATGCTGACGGCACCAAACTTGTCTGCCTTCTCGGGCAGCAAACTGATGCCATCCGCAGCCTCAATGTTGAAGATGCTCAGATAGTCGACAAACTCCTCCGACTTGTGGACATCTCTCAGCTGAAAGCTCACCTCGCGAGTGCCAGTTGGTTTGTCCTTTACGCTGCCATCGTCCAGCAGCAGCACCAACTTATTGATCGTCACCAGATCGGCATCCGAGAGTTCCAAGTGCTCCACGGGTGGTTCCTTGTCACTGCGCTGACTGACTTGACTGAGCGCCAAGTAGAGGTCCGTGAGGCGTTTGTAGTTCTCAATTTGATGCACAAACTCGTGATAATCCTCGCCCGCGGTGGCCTCGGGCAGCGGCTTCTCAATGAATGCGTTGACAATGCATTGGAATACAAAGGGTTGCAGTTTCTTGCTCTTGAGCAGCATTTCCAGGCACTGCTGGCGCACCTCCAGCGTCTGCAGTTCGCTGGCCAGCTCGGCAATCTCCTTCAGCTTCTGGTCATTATCCGCATCGTGGCTGAGGGCACGCATTTGGTTCCTGAGACGCCGCAGCAAGTGAATGTCACGGGATGTCTGCGAGTTGGTCTCACTCAGCGCATAATGAAATGGTATGTGGATCTCCTTCAAGCTGCTGTCGCTGGGATCCAGGAACAGGCAGTGGTTGATGACAGGCGACTTCCTGGATTGCCCACCTCCTACACCCGCTGCTGTGGCTGTGCCTAGAGCACTGTGATTATTGTAAATTAATTGTCCGCTCTTGCACACAGTAAAGGCCGCCACTTTGGGTCCATTCTGCAGCGCCCAGATGTCCAGGCAGCCCATGCGCGGCGCATAGATGACCAAAAACAAGGCTTTCCTCTTGTGTGTCTTGATGCCACGCACGGAGCGCTCCTTGACGGGCACAAACGCGCATTGGGCATCGCGATAGCCCTTCCACACGCGCAAAATGATGGCCTGTTGAGTGTCCACCAGCATCACACGATCCAGATTATCCGTGACGACAGCCAAGCGGCCGCCTGGGGCTATGGCCAGCGTGAGGCCATCCCTTTTGCCATCATACAGGCGGCAGCGTATACGCATGGGCGCCTCCTTGGTGGGCTGCGGCAGCGGGGCATCTTCGGGGCTTGGCGGTGGATCTGGGGCACGCTTGAACAAGCCGCCAAGTAGATTATTGTAGGCTAAGCCTATGACACCTTTGGCCACCTCACCCAGTGAGACGGTCTTGTAGCCTTCCTCGGCATGAAAGAAACCCAAATAAGGTTCGGCTCCTGCTGCCAGCACTTGGGAGCTGCGCGGCGGTGTGGCATGCACCTTGGCATAGTAGCCATGGCCAATGCTCTGCTGTACAATGTAGTCATAGGTCGGCGGACGTTGTGTGCTCGATATGGCAGCGTCGTTAATGATGCCCTCGCGCTCCTGTTTGAATTTGTACTTCTGGAATGGCACCACATCCGCGATGGGATAGGAATTCCGCTCCAGTGCGCCACGCTGCACATTGTGGCGACAGTTTATGAGCGTGGGCAATATATCCTGTCCCTTCATGAAGCACAAGCAACGTGTGTACACAATGTAGAGCAAGGCATCGCCCTCCGAGTGGCGTGGCGGGGATTGCAATTTGACGCCAATTACAGGATTCTCCTGGCAGCTGCAAAATAAACGAATTAAGTGCTGACATTGTATGGAATCGAATGACCAACCATTGTGAGAAGAGCTTTTGGCCAGAGTCTGTGTAAAAGACAACCAGGCCAGAGACCAAGCCCACTGCCACGCAAGTCCATTCTGTGGCTCCATCGTTGTTCCGACTCTGATGCGTCATTGGCAGACACGTTAGACTGGTCACAATCTGATTGGGATCCTCCAGCTCGCCAGTCCATCCCAGGGCGTAGGTGTTGGCATGTCCATTGCTGCTCCAGCAGGTCGACAGAAAGGCTAACTTCTCCCCCTGGGCCATCGCGATCAGCTCGCCCGTTGGGGAAATGGCAGAGTTGATGGCATTTAGCCAGTTATCGTCTGCTCCATGAAAAGATTTTGGATTAACTACTGCAGTTCTAAGCATAACTTTTAGTGTCTCACCATGCCCGAGGCCAAAGTATTCTTGAACTTTTCTAAAATCGCGTATTTCCCCAAATGTTTTCACTTCGCAAGCCATTTTCTTTTGTTGTCATCACACAGCTGTTGGTGTGACCAGAGTAATCGTTGTAACTAGTGGTGTATCGATATGAGAGCAACAGGTATCGATAGCAGAGTTTTTGCCATTCAACGTTGAAATGTTTAAAATATTTATTTCGTTATTCGCAACATAATCAAAGGAAATCTAAATTAAGTCCGACTCCACGCCACTGTCAATGTAGTCCTTCAGCATCAGACCACAATGATCTGGCAGTAGTCTCGTCCAGTTGTTGATGTGCAGCAGACAGCTGGGAATTGTGGCTTCCAGAGCGTCGGAGCGATGAGCCTCGACAATACGCATTGCCACTTCCTTAGGATCCAGCAAGCCCAAGATCGATGGGAACTTTACCTTCGGATGCTTGCACAGGCCCGTGTTTGTCATGTACGGGAAGATTGTGGTGGTTTTTATCTATCCGCATAAAGGAGATTAATCCTGATTCGATGCTCGATTAAAAGTTCTTACCATATTTCTGTAGGGTCCTTCGCGTAGTTCTTCATGCAGTGCCTCCATGAGGCCGCGCACAGCGAACTTGGTGGCACAATACGGCACCAGATTCGAGAGTCCCACCACACCCGCAATGGAGGACAGAGCGATAATGTGGCCGCGATTCTTCTCCTCCATGTGGGACAGGAAGGCCTGGATTGTCCAGAACTGCGAGAACACATTCACATCGAAGACGCGTTGGATCTCCTCAGCGGATTGCTGTAAAATGGGATGCGTGGGCATGATGCCCACATTATTGACCAGCACCGATATGGGTCCAACTTCTGCCTTGACGCGATCCGCCAGTGCCATAACCTCCGCACGCTTGGAAACATCGCAACTGAAAAATGGATACAAACATTTGAATGTTTGAGATTGTTTCGTATTTGAAATACCAACATGAAACTGTGAACATTGCCCAGATTAAGTCGCTTGGCCTTTTGTACAGTCTGCTGGTTGTTCTTCTCATTAATGTCCACACATATCACTGTGCTGCCCAAGGAGGCGTAGTGCAGCGCCAGCTCCCGGCCAATCCCATGGCCAGTGCCGGTAATCTAAAACGAAACATTTGAATGCCTATCTTTTATTCTTGTCCGCTACTTACCAGCACAACTTCACCGCTGATATCCTTGAGCCTTTTGGGCAACACCTTCTGTATGAGCATGATAAACATTTCCAGAAAGATGCGCAAGAAAAGCAACAGAAATTGTAGAACATCCTGCAGAACATCAAATAGTCTCTTCGATGCAGTTGTGGTGCTACAAAATGGTAAAATAAACATCAAACACTCATCTAATTGTGTATGCCATGGTCAATAACAATAGCACAACAATTAGTTGGGTCAACTGCTAGCTCAAGTAGAAGCAAATATTTGCCAAAAGTCGAGGCTTGGCAAGCCCCGAAATGATTTAATTTGTCTATTTGTATGCGGTTTGCTGCATGTGCAATGTTCAAACGTTCGAATAGATTGTAGTCGCCGGACTTTGCCATTGTATCCATGGTGCCCCAAGCATAAGATAATGGAAAATGTTCAGACTTGATGCAAGTGTTGACTCCGGTTCTTGGCCCCATATTTTGGAGCGCATGTGGATAACTACTCAGAGTTGAACTTTGAATCAGGCCACACATAATGCGATAACACTTACTGGATAATTTCACGCTCAATCATGGCGACAGTTGGATAAGTTTGCTGTTTGGTTGCGTTTTCCTTTTAATCTCTTTGCCCTGACTAGCCCTTTGAGTGCAAAGTCAAGCAGAGCGCCCAGTGATGTGGATAATTTCTATAATGAAACAAAATATTGTTTATCAGTCACGGCTAGCTTGGTTTTTGGTTTTGTGTTGTTTTGGTTATCTCTTCCCTATTTTCTGGTTTCCTTTTTCGCAATTTTTGGTGAGCTTTTGATCAATTTATTGTATTTTTCCGATTTATTTATGTAAAACCGGCTGGGAAAGAGCAGCTGGCTGCAGCGCAGGCGAGCAACGAAAGCAAATGCAGCATTTCCACTTTCGTTTTCGTTTCGTTGCGCCTTGCCTAGCGTCTGGGCAACAAAATTACGTGCACTCCAATGTGGCACAGACAGAGCGAGAGAGAGGACGACTCGATTACGCCTTTGCCTATGCCAAAAAGTGCAACCAGCCAGGCGAGCCACTTGGCGCTGCTCTTGGTGTAATTCTCTTCGATTTGACTGCGCTGCGGCTATTTGGTTGTGGTCTCTCGGGGTCTTTTGGTAGCGAGTGGCAGCCAGCTACATGGCTACATGGCTTGTTGCAATGGGGAAGCCAAGTGTTTGTTGCAACAACCAAAAGCCGTAACCATAAAATGCAACGAGGTTTGCTTGATTATTTTCAAATGGTTTTGTGGGATTTTGTTGAAAGAAATATTTTGTATGTTTGGTTTAGAACACTTCTGGACTTTGGTTTTTGCATTTTTTGAGTCTTTCTTTTCATATTTTTTCCCCCAATGATTTAGGGGGCTATTAATTTTTAATCGTTAGACAAAATAATGTTCTTTTGATGTTATCTTTCTTCGCACTAAAATTTAATGTTTGCAAATTAAAATTATCCACTTTAAAAGTAATTTTTTATAACATTCAGTTCCACTCCCATTGTGACACCGCTGAGCACTTTTTTCAACATTTCCATTAACTGTCCACGAAAACATTGCAACACTTTAGTGACAAGACTGGAAATCCTAAGATTCCTTAACACATATGTATGTATTCCCCAAACTGGTATGAAAAACAAATTTACGCAATATTTACACAATATCCCAAAGAGTCAAAGCTTGAACGGGAACCGTTAAGTCTTGTTGCTCGCAGCAAACTGATTTCAGCAGCTGCTGCTGGAAGCAAACGAAGCTCACAATTCCAACAGGCTGAGCTGCGGGCTCCAAGGGAGTGAGAGAGAGGGAGTGCGAATATCTTTGGGGCCTCAGAGAGTAGAGTGGAAGACCGGCAACAGATGATCCTTGAGATCTAGTAAATAATAAATGATCTGCAATCTGTATGTGACTGGCTGGTGTCTTTTGTTTACACGTCTCCAGGTGAGCAGAGATGACCTTCATTCAGGGTAGGGAGTGTCCAGACGGAAACAAAAGACCGGGAAGCAGCAGCAGCTATGTACATACAAGCATACACACACAAGCAAGCGAAGCTAAGCATGATTTACCGTTTCTTTGCTTAATGTTTACTTTTCGTTTCTGTTGTTGTTTCTGTTGCATTGTATGAGTAAGCAAAAGTTCGATCTGCAGTCGAAGCCAAGTTCAAGTTCAGTAATCATAACAGTAAGTGAGAGAGGGGAAAGAAAGAGATTAAAGATGAAAGAGAGTGTGAGAGCGAAGTATGAATTCCGTTTCTGCATTAAAGCTCGTTTGCAGCTTTTGCCCTTGAGGCGATAACCAGTATTTTGTTCAGAAAGTTACTTTTACTTAACTTTGCTCTGCTTTACTTTAATTGGCTTTTATATTTGGTGTTTATGTATACCCTGTAATACCGTTTGCAATGCATAGAAGGTAGTATTTGTGAATGCTAATGGTGTCATACATACATATGTACATAGCTGCAATAGCTTCTTTGTGCAAAAATGTTCCATAATAATCTACCGAAACGTCACACAAGTATTGGCTCTTTGTTAATGCAGTTGCCTTAGTTTTCACAGCTGAGTCTTAAGCTCAACAAAAAGCAAATAAAAAGCTGTGCAAGGGTATCAATAGACCAGCAGTTACCTCTTTGCCCTGCTGTTTATATTTATTATCTTTCGATGCTGTCTGTAGATATTCCTCGTTGCTGTGGGGAAGGTCATTGAAGGGTTGCCCGCACTTTGCGTTCGGTTCTGTGCGATCGACGACCCGTTCACATAATTGGTGTCAATTTGGTACACAAGTAACACAAGTAACGCATCGTACAGTGAAGATATAACTTAATGGACAGGTGCACACAATGAACTGTCCAACCGCCTATAAATAAACTCACTTTATTGGTGTTCTCTCTTGGCTCTCCCTAGAGAGCTTTCACTGTACTTGCGCTTGCCGTACTGTGCATCGCAGTTAAAGCTCTCTAGAGCATAAAGCATACAAAATAGCTCCAACCCTAATCAAATATCGAAGCTTCGGTTTCCTGACTGCCATTTAAATAATCATCAACTTCCACACAAATCAAAATAAACAAAGTTTATGCTTATTATGTCTCTCCCTTTCCTCTTTTCCTTTTGGTTAATGGTCGTGTTTTGTGGTCTAGCTTGTTGCTTATTGTTTGGGCTTTATGGTTCCGTTTTCCCCTTTAGCTTCTCCATCTTCTGGTACTGGTATTCTCTCCTTATCGATATGGCGTGCATTAGCAATCAATATGACATGTCAGGCACATGGAGACAGAGGGAAGTGACAGCAGGCAAGTCGAAGCACTTGGCAGTTAATTCATATCAGATATTAGATCTGATTTGATAAGTTCTGAAACGGGTTGCTAATGTGCAATGCATACAGCGGTTATGTTTCTATTTCTGACTTAATTAGGGAGCTACTGCCGGGTAGTACTTATAATGTTTACTTGTATGTCCAAAACAAACTTCACTTCTTATGCCTAAATATATTTCCGTTGGCAGTGAAAAACAATTAAGAAACTCCGAACGGATTTAGCTGGCAGCCTTGACATTGAATATTGCCATCATTTTAATGCATATGCGAGTACGCAGTACTCTGCGTACAGTAGATGTTCCATTAGCTTACCTCATCTGTAGTTCGAATATTTATAAAAACATTACACTTGGTATGTTCTGCTAATTATCAACTATCAATCCAACTAGTCGTCCTGCCATTAACATGCAACACAAAATGGGAAAACAGCAAAGCGGCGTACATGAAATACCCTCACATGAAAAAATGTAAATAAAGTTTATGTATTTCATTTTTGTATAATTCTTGGAATTAAAACTTATAAGTAAAAAATGCAATTCGAAGACAGTACACCTTAACTGACGCTCGATCTTTAAAGTAGAGAATTCTATAATAGTTTGTAGCCTCTCACACTTAGTCACACTTAGACTCTATAAACTTGGAAGAAGTTTATAGACTAGAGCAAGGAAACAGTAACATTTGTAGCTCTTCCGTAATTTTAAACATTCGCATGTGTTGAATATGCCAAAAACCAGTTGACACAGCTTTTCATCAATATACCAGCAATATGCAGCAGAATCAAAGCAAAGAGAACTTTCTTGTGCATTTCTTAATGATTAATGAACACTTCTAATGCCATGATAACTATCATAAGTGTCACCAAAATCTCTCAATAAAATTCACAAGTATATTTCAAACACATTCAGCATTAATTTCACAAACTTTCTGATCCATTCGTTGGGGCTTCCCCCGTGTTAGGGTGTTTAATTGTCCACGCATGTGGCAGCAATGCAATGTGGCAGCCTGAAAGGCGGCTTCAGTTGCCATTGGGAAGTCAGGCGGCGCACAGCGTCAAGCAAAATAAAGCGGTAGTCAGAGGCAATAGGAGATCGAGCCGAAAAAGGGGCAAATCCCAAAATGTGAGTGTCTAAGGAGATTCTTCAGCGGCGGCAAGGCAAGGACCTGCATATTGTTTTTTGTTCCACTTCCTGTCTGTGTACATTGTGTGTGTGTGTGTGTGTGTGTGTGTGTGTGTGGGCTCGTGATTTGTTTACCTGTCAAAATAATAAATATAACTTTTGTTTTCGTGGGGCATAAAATACGGTTGGTTGGCATTGGAATTGGAGCCAAACAGCCGCGAAGCAAAACCAGGGCGAAGGCCTTTCGGTCGCCTGTCTGGCATGTCCTGTGCTGTGCCAAGTGCAGTGTCAAAAGTCAAGCGAAGGATAATGGCCCAGAGCCAACACTGACAAGAAAATGGCCTCCCGACACTGGCCAGACACATTTCCTTTCACTTTTGGAGCAGCTTTAAAGAAATTTGAAATAATTTCCACGTGCGCCTCAAAGTATGCAACAGTTTGGCTGCCACTTAGTTGACTTTTCGTTTCAGTTCATAATAAATGCTAGAACTGATCCCCTTACTTCAACCTTTCACCCCGTCAGGCACGCCGCCCAGCATGTTTCTGCCGGCGCCTAACCAGACATGCCAACGCCTCCAGCTGACCTTCATTGGTAGATACTTCTTCAGGCAACTGCGCCAGATGAGCCAGCTCCGAAGGACATCCTATGCCCGTGCCGCGCTTGAGCAGTTCCAGTCCCCGGCACCATGCCAGCGTCAAGCCTTCACACCCAACTTGGAGGCCATGCAGCGGAGTCAACAGTTTGGAGAGGATTATCGCATCTATCAGCAGAACATCGATCTGGACTCGTTCTTCGGGGAGGAGCCAAAGTATGACAAGGTCTCGGATGTCTGCCTGCTCAACGATCACTTTATACTGGTGAAGATGCCCCAGGTGCAGTTTCAGCCACCAAAACCCATGACACCACAAACAAAATCGAAGCTGCCGGTTGGTTGCTTCAAGTGCAATCGCAGCAGTCGCGTCTCGCCCATACTGGAGGATGTGGAGGAGAAGCCTCCGCCTCGGAGGAGGAACTGCCTGAAACCCTGGGCCAGCAGGGACATGGATGAAGTGGAGGTTTTTGACTCCACCACAACTGTAAGCCACATGGATGTCCATGATGATGTTCAGATCTTAGAATCCAGCACCAAAATAACAAACTTTCCATGTAAGAGTTCTGCTCAGGCCACTCCCGAATCTGTGATAGTCGAGCAGCCGCATCCGCATCCGCATCCGCATCCGCAGCGGCAGTCTCCTCCGTTGCCTGCTGATCTGCAGCTGGAAGCGGTACATCCAGCAGCATCCACACAGCAGCCTCTCCTGAACCGCGGCCCACTCCACTGGTTCCTATGGCCCTTTCGCCGACGGCTCCACTCCAGAGCCAAGTCCAAGCTCCAGCTGGCAGCCGTGCACAAGACCTACTTTGTGCGCTGGAGCAAACCGCCGGACACCATCTGGCAGGGCTACGGCGTGGATAGAGGCGACAGGGAGCAAAACTTTAGTCTGAGGCGCTGTCGTTCGGCTGTTTTCTGAGTGAATCTACACATGGAAATTGTGTATAAATGTGTAAATTAAGGGTCCAGTAATTTAATTCCCAAAGAGCTTCAATGGTTTCAGTTACTAATTGTGAAGAAAAATATTAAAATTTTATTGATTAATTTAAAGTTGAAACTTTTTGGAGAGAGGCATCCAATTAAATCCCGAGCGTGGCATGTCAATCTCAACTGCATATGCAAATACTCCGAGTTTGAGGGGTACATTAATATTTTTATGGAAATTGCAAATGCATTTCCGCATGCAAAATGTGGCCGACGAGTTCGGGGAGTTCTTGAGAGCTTGAGAGAGTATTGTAACGAAAGACTCCTTAATAATTAGAGTAAGTGAACAGAGCCTTAAAGGGTTTCAGTGCTCCAAGAAAAATTGGAACAGGAATCGTAATATATAACTTATTTTCAAAGACAATTTACGGAGCCAAAGAGATGGCCATAGCTTTGTGTCAATATTTGTGAGAATTTAAATAAAATTATTGGAATTTGAGTGGTCTCCAGAGGTACAAAGAGAAGTATAAAAAGTATACGTAAATTCTCTGCAAAAGTTGAATATTACTTACGAAGACTCTTTGTAGGTTTGCTCAAGTATACAAATAATTATAGACTGTAAAGAAAGCCCCGACGAAACCCTTCAAGAGCACATGTCAAACTTCGATTTCCGCATACAAAATTAGTGCCCGGCCTGGACTGCCTGCACCACAAAGTTTAGCCACAATGTGGAGAGAGCCACACAATATGTATGTGGCTCCAAAAAGGAAGGAACAAGTAATGCCAGCAA